CTACGTGGACTCTCCTGGTTATGTGGACGCCCCTACGTGGAGTCCCCACGTGGACTCTCCTACGTGGACCATGGTTATGTGGACCCCCCTACGTGGAGCCCCCTACGTGGACTCTCCTACGTGGACCCTGGTTGTGTGGAGGCCTTGTCTGGCCCTATGTGGAGGCCTTGGCCAATTTTATGTGGCTTTATGTGGAGCCCTTGGCTTGCCATATGTGGAAGCCTTGGCCGCCCGTGGAGGCCTTCACTGGCACGTGAGGAGCCAAGGCCCCCACATAAGGCCCGGCAATCCTGCTGTTTTTTATTGTTGTGAATGATGAAGGAACTGCACATTTAAATATACGGAGCCGCCCGTCGCCCCCAAACATACGGACAGAATAGGAATTATACACTACCTCCGGGAGGATCAACCCTGGGCCGCCCTCCACATATTTTAATGGCGTAACCGTACGTTTCATCCCGAATGTTCTTGCCTGCACCAAAAAAACTCCGGTTGAACACCTAAAATTATCCTTTTGGTGCTGCGGGTCATGGTGGCAGATTGAGGGTCGAACCCACTCTAGTAGAAACTCCTAACCAAATGGAAACGGTTATGGCCACTGCTCCCAGACTGGTCAGTGATTTGGAGGTGGCCACTGCTCATGGTCCCTTGCTGCGATGGCCCACTTGGCCTGGCCATCCCTCCGGCTGGACTTGATCACCGCCTCCACGGGCGCGATCAGTGGAGCGAACCAACGACGAGTTTTGGCCATGTTCGGGGTGTCCGGACCACGACGATGGTGCGTCGCTCTGCATGCGTCTGACATAGATCTTCATGCGTTTAAGTTTGGAGGCCGTCTTCTGAAACTTCTGGCATCTTCTTACTGGCTCTCTGTGAGTGGAAAACAAAGACATGTCTTCGGTCGTTTTCTGAAAAGAATTACGAACACTCGACACAAAGCTCGGCACGAAGGCACGGTTCCACCTCTATGGCGTGGTAAGCAGCTGCCACCTGCCAGTCATGTGCCATCTCAAAGATTCCCAAAGACTTTTTTGTTAAACTCTGCATGAGGGGTATCATCCGATGCCTTCATCCCAAAGATTCCCAAAGACTTTTAAACCTCTGCATGTGAAGTGTCAAGGGTAGAGTTCTATTCGGCAACAGGTGGAACTGGTCAGTGGCAAGATTGCACCTGGACCACTAGTTCTTCTTTATGCATCTCGGAGGATCCAAAACAATTTTTGCTTTGTCCATGGATGAACAGAATCGAAGGAAATTCGATCAATGTCTAAAGCTATACCAAATGCATCCAAATCGTCTGAGTTTGAATGTTCGAGATTCACTTTGTCTCGCTTCTGGTGGACCCTGACACATCGCCTCCTTATTGGTGGAGCCAATGGTGCCGCCAGCCTGAAGTCGAGATGCGACCCCTCGGCACTGAAAAAGCCACCGGTGGCATGGTGGCCAATGTAGTCTCTTGATTAAACCCACCCAGTGGAATTAAGACAAGTTTATATGGGGCGGGGGTCTTATTAATTATTATGGCATTGAGTCATATTGATGAGTCTACATTAGTTGGGTGACATCCAACATTCGCATGTTGTGTGCAACATGAGTTCGAAGGGTTCTGGGATATTCTGGGGGTGGGTGGAACGTTCCCGGCCGTGCCCCGCGTTGAAGAACATGACGTAGCGTGAATGTACGAGAGACAACTCCCCAAGCTGAGGGTGTGCGAAGTCAGGAGTCCAAACTGATCATGCTATCCCAGGACCATCCAATGGGGTCCTGTCTGGACATCTCTAAGTAGTGGGCGGGGTAGTCCAGCCAGGACACCCAAACAGGATGCTCCTGGTATACTTAAAAACTGACGGTGCTACTGCATGCTACTGCATCGTCAGTTTTTTGGCTCGTCTTGCACGTAGCATCGCCTTGCTCATCCGAATTGGTACTTCCAAGAATTTTGGTCGCCCTTAAAAAAGGTTGAATCGAACAGAATTGAAGCAGTTGAATCAGATCGAACAAATTTCTTCTCCACTGAAATCTGGAAGTCATGACCGTCATGACCGAGTAGGCTTCTGTAGCATCAACAAGGACCAATGACCAACATGGACAAACCACGCACATATGAAAGCGGGGTGGGAGCTAGCAGCTAGACCACAGAAGGTGAAGGGTTAGGACGGTTAGACCGGCTTGAGTATTTGGTGACTGTCTTCCGCATCATGAGGTCACCTTTTAGGAGTCTAAACGTGAAGCGATCTGAGGCTGTAAGCTGATAGCCCTTGCAAAGGGGTGCAGCGTCCAATCTTTCCTTGTCATCTGCCGCATCTGCCTTGAGTTCCTGTCACTTGGGCATCCAAAAAGCACCATCCCCATCCCTGTCACCGATCTGTCGTGTAATCTTCAATGGACCACAAACACTGTGTCCTCCACGCTTTCTTGGGATCCCAAACAGCTGGGCTGCTCATGGGAGCCAAGTCGGCCAGCCTGAGGACTGTGCGCATGCGGACGCCGCGCAAAGGCGCGGTCAACCGCCCTCTCGATGGACGTGGGGAGAGAAGGCACCGAATATTCGTCTCCTGAAGAGTTCGGATGTGATGGTCAAACATGGTGAAACCTGAGATGGTTTTTCCTTGCATGACCAAGTGTCACCAAGGCAGCACATCAACAAGCTTAAATAACTTGCCCTCACACAGGCTGATGGACATGGATGGACTTGAAATCACGGGTGACATGACCTTCATTCGCTTTTGCTTGCATGTTTGGTTGGACCCCCCGATCAAAAGCACGTGTGCCTTCTTGGGCCCAGTCTGGACCGTGTCATCCTGGCACGCTGGACCGGTCCGGTCTACGGCCCCGACATCAGCTTGCTGCGGAGCGCCGCACCGGTGGCGCGATTGGTCCTGGGACGAGCGTCCGTCGGAGGAATTTTCCAAGCGCCGCCTGCTTTTCAGGCCGTGCCCCTCGAGATAGGTTTACTAAGGTCGAGAAGACAAAGAAAACTCTAGACTGGATGTAAATGTCGTCGGGTTTGACGTCTTAATCTCTTATAATGGAGACTTGTACTTCTATACATGAAGGGAATAAGGAGGAAAAAGACACATACTGAATTCTTGCCGGTCCCCAGTCCTTGTGAAGTGCAAAGCAACCACGACCTGCACAAGCAAACACCGCAGCCCCACGCTAGCTTCGATCACTCTGTGGCGAGCGCGCGAGCGAGCGGAGAGCGCTCCACGGATGGACCTGAAAGCGGCAAATCCATTGATCCATAGACCCCGGCAGTCAGAGACTGAATGGTCTGACTAGGTGACCCGAGTTCAGGAATTTCCTTTACTTCAGTCGGTCAAAATATATATAGTCGAGTCGAACTGGACTTCTAGGGTATAAATTACGTGCAAGGTGCCATCTGGCCATCTGGTGAAACTCAAAAAATGATGGTCTATCTGGTTCCATCAACCATCGCCCACCAGCATCTACCATCTATACCTTCTGAGTGGGATAAAATCAAAGTTTCCTTTCTCAAACTTATATAGACACTGTTTGTCTGTGAGAGGAATCCTCTTTGCTGGGCAGCTGGGGGCTTGCTGAAGAGCCTTAAATGTTCTTGGCTTCATAGATTCAATTTGTTTTGCTTCTTGATGGGATGGAACCAGGATCTCAACCGGCAACTGAACCAGGATCTTAAGAGTTTTTTCCGCCAGGCAAACCGCTATGATTCACGACATTGTCTGATTCGCTACTTTCATCTTCGTCCCCTGCGCTGATCCGGTTTCGGCACCGCAAAAAAAACCGGATCATCGAGAGACAAACCCGAAGGACCGAATTCTTCGCGTGCACCACATGGTGGGTGTGTAGCTCAAATGGGGAACTTCCCCAGTGACCGCTTGCAAGAAGGAAAATACATCAAACCTACTGGTTGGGCGTCTCCCTATTCAGATACACAATGATACACACCCATATTACACATTATTACACAATCACATGTAAAACATCGTGAAAAACCAGTGAACTTACACACCCTGTTTGCACCGGTTTATCAACTGTGCGTGTACCGATGCAGCACGAAGCTTGACACCCTCCACGCTGCTCACCTTTCCGGGTCACCCGGACATGTGGCTCACCCCGAGCGGTGCTCACCGTGGAGGCTGGCGTTCGTGGCGACTTCGGGGCAGCATAAGCTCCCTGGTGGAAAGGCCGGAAGGTGTCGGACGGGTGAAGTCTGGAAAAGGGAAGGAGAGAGGAATTCTATCTTAATTAGGGGACTCCCTCCCACCGGTTTTGGGATGGTTTTGAATGGGTTTGATCCTTCTTCCAGGGGGTTGGTCGAACAGGGAGGTCTGCCTTTTTGTTGGGATCTCTCTTTTAGGGATTTGGTCTATTTGGGATTCTGATCTCTTGGGAAATAGATTTCCTCCCGACGACCAGCCAAGTGAAGGCCTCATAAGGCATTTCAGTGACTCCCAATTTTGCAACCCTTCTTGAGGCGTTGGGGGCCCCAAGCCCCGGAGGATCAGAGGCCCCTAAGGGCCAGTTTTCTGGCTTAAAGACGAAAGACTTGAGGGTTTAGCTTAGCTGGTCCAGCGGCTGGTTGGTCACTTTTTGGAGCATAGGATAGCATATGTCATCCCTCAGGATGTCCATCCCTCAGGCCGTTGGGACGTTTTTTCTCACGATCCCCCAATCTTGCGTGGTGCAAATGAATAGCTGAAGACTAACAGGTTTTGTGGTAGAAAGAGTGCTGAAATGAGTAGTCATCACTGAGGTTGCGCATTCTTCATAGAGTTCGATGACTATGAGTTGCAAGGGGGACGGGAGGCTGGCCCCCGGATGTTACCCCCGGCAGAGCCAATGACTGACTTGCAGTCTTATTTGGTTCCCAATCTGCCGGACACTCGTGTCCTTTCACCCCAACATGTCGTCAGCTCAAAGTGACACGACACCCCTCACGACGGATGGAGATCCACCGATCCAGCGGATTTCTGCCATTTGGCCATCTGCAGAGAACTTTTAAACAATAGCTGCAATAGATTATGCATGATTATGCTGAATCTTAATTCAAGACATCTAGTCAATGAATCTTGAATCTATCGTTCAAAAACACTTGTTCAGGAGTTTCGTTTTCACTTCAAGACACCCAAATGCAGAACCATGACCATCATCCCACACCCCTTTTTTTAAAGAACGTTTGCGGCAATTTCGGAGCATGTGTGGCTCGCCCGGCTCCGTAAGAGCAATAAAACTGACCACATTTGCAGTGGGCATGCAGGATCGGCCAAATTGCTTGGATTGGACTATCCCAAACACCATCAAACACCTAATTCCTGGTAGGCTGTCCCTAGTAGCCTAGTAGTCTATTTATGTTCAGTGGCAAACTCTTGTGCAAGTATCGGTGGTCCAGTGGTGGGTCCCCCGGTTGAACAACCCGCAGCTACATTGTCTATTCTAAGCAAGGGGACTCAAGGGGACTGTGTGCCAACATTGCTTTGACTATCTTGGACTGACATTGTTTAGCAAACAAAGCAGGTCCACTGTGACCTTTACAGCTCAAATCAACCCCGTTTGGACACGTCCTTACACCTTCGCCCTGGTCCACGGTCCTCGGTGGCGGTGAAGGCGGAGTTCAAGACCCGCATGAATTCGTTCCTGGACCCGAGACGCCGTGAACGGCCGACTGGCAGTCGACATGATCCAAGGAAACATATACGAGAAATGAAAGGTTTTATGCAGGGTGGATGCCTCCAGTCGGCCTAGTCACCAAAAACATGACATGGGAAACAGGGCGTCGTCCTCTCATGAGAAACTCATTGAGTTTTCACCATTCTAAGAATGTCAAAAACACGCATGGTCTAAGAGCAACCCATGCTGCAACGTTCTACATCGGTGCTTTTCCACCACTGGCGCGGGTTCCCCGCACTGTTCCACCGGTGGCCTGTCAGAGATTCGCCTGCTGGACGCACCGTCAATGAAGCTCGACTCGCCTTCGACGAAATCGTCGGGTGAGACACGGTGACTTTGACGACACTGAAAACATGGAAGACATGGAAACATATAGAAACTTGAATATCTTGAATGGGTAGATCGGTAGATTTGGACCTTGAGACAGGAGTGTACCCATAAGGTTTACCACTAGCAAAACTGAGATAGTAGAACTTTGCACTTTTACTAAAACACACTTGCTTGAGCTAGCAATGCTGTATGTACATAACCACCTAAGTAAGATCGATCGCAAACATGCAGGCCTGATCAGTGAATTTGACCATCTTCATATTTTTCCCGTACAAAATCCGCACTCGCTGCACGCCCATATCATCCGTGTGGTACCGCTGTGCCCTGCCGCGATGGTCCGTGGCTCCCCTCACCTCCACCGCCCAAGAGCATTGCCCCAGCAAATGCCAAATGCCCGGAGCGAGTGTCATCTGGGCGCGATGGAGCAGAACGAAGGCAACTCGTGTTTTTTCGCGGACATTCTTCAAATAAACTGACAAAGAGTTGCAGCAGTGGAAACAGAACGACCATTTATATGGTCGGGTCTTTCGATTGAATTTTGGGAGTAATGAAGAAGGAACAATCATTGCGAACCAATCGATTTATTCGACTTATCTTATGAACTAGGAGCTTCCAACCAGTTAACATGGCACCTCAGCTTTAGATGAAGTCTCTCGAAATTGCGCTGCAATGGACGAAATCGTGCCAGCAAAAAACTCCAAAGCAACGAGCTTGGTTGGTTGGTTGGTCGGTCGGTCGGTCGGTCGGTTGGTTCCGACTTGATCCTGTTTTGAATAAGAAGTGCAGCCATGTTTTTGTGTTTTTTTCTTGACGCAGTCTTGTTTATATGATGATCCGGTTAGGATCTGCCCTGATGATTTCATATGATTTGTATCTAAGCATTAAAGAGGCAAAAGGCATCAAAAGGCACTCTCAATCTCCAGCCACTCTTCGTCATACTTTGTAAACCAAAGCGAAACTCTGGTTCACAGCCTCAGAGTATACCCAACAGACCTGGCGGTGTATGAACAAACACCGAGACACCCAGGGCCCGTCCAGCAAAACTCCTCACCCAGCCTCACCCTCCCGTCACCCGGTTCGGCTCGTGCCGGTGCCGAGAGGCTGAGGTCTGGTCGCGAGGTGCGACCTCGGACGACGTGGGGACGAACCGCCAGGGCGGTTCGTAAACACACGTTGCAGCTGTTCATGAACAGGCACAGCTGCTGGTTGAAAAACATGGGACTCCTTTTTGGACTGCCTTTCGTGTTGCGAAAGAACCTGACCCGGGTCCCCCCCTGCGCCCACTTGCTCGCGTCGCATCCGCCCAAACCCTCCTCTTCGCCACCCGGACCGAGCAAGTCGACGGTGCGATCGCCCCGGATCTCCACCACTTGCATCTCCACCTGGCGATCCGGCGAGTCGGACGCTTGGGACCGCTTGGAACCCAGCGAGGCCGTGGCCATGCGAACGAGTTCGGGTGATCGCGCGCTGCGAGAGCGGCAGCGGCTCATGCTGTTGGGAGCATGCCGTTGGTTTGTGAATCATCCTTTTCTTTGGCGAGGGTTTGCACCTGCAAGGACCTGGCGGAATTAGCAAGTGATTCAAAACCAGCTATATAATACTATATGCCAAGCTGCCAGCTTGCCAGTTCCGCAATCAGATCTGAATATCCCTTTGAACGAATGATCTCGTCTGCTACACCGACTCCATGCTTCTGAACATCTGCCTGGAACCCTCATGTTGGAGGTCATCTTGTGAAACTGCCGGGTATCCTTGCAACCAAAATGGCTTTCACCATTTGTTTGGCCACAACTATTGCAGCTAATGGGTTCCAATGCATTTCGGGTCCTGCAATGCCACACATTGTCCATGACCCAAGCCTCCAACAAAGCACGCCAATCATCTCTCTCCTGGCGTCACCGGTGATCTCCGTCTGGTTTGGAGAACTAGCTTCTTTCGCAGTTTGAGTTAGACCTTCCAAAAAGCGAAGAACGGTTGAGTTCATCGTCGAGCTCATCGGTCGTCTCTAGGAACCCCCTCCGGCGGCGCAACCAGAATCACCGGACCGGACCGCATTCCCCGGGGAGAACGCAGAAAATTCCGCGGCTCACCCAGCAAAACGAAGACACGGTCGCCTGAATGGTGAAGATCTCATTGGCCACCCGAGTGGCTAATCCTGACCTGGCAGCTTGCTTAGAGAGCCAAACAATCCAGTGGAAACACCCACTTGTTTTGTTTGTTTCCATTGGAAAGTCCCAATGCTATATATATGTTGCTGGAACTTCCACATGGATGATGTCCGCTTGCTATTGTTCCGTAACTTTGGCCAATATCGGGGCATGCTCTTGAAAAGGTCAACAAAAACACATACTGACTCATTTTTGCCCAAGTATAGGTTCCCAAGCCAATCTCGTTCTTTTGGCATGCCAGGTGCCGGCTTCTTGAATGGAGGGCCTGGGCAAGCAGGCACTGTCGTTGAAAGAACATCAAACACACAAGCCGTACAAGCGAAAGGCGGAGCTTCAAACAACACATACAGCTAGTGCAGCTGGCAAAAGAAGGATATCTACATTCCCAGTCCCATATATATAATATATGAACATCCGATCTAAATCTATATATATAATGTACATATTATATCCGTGTCATTCCGTTTCTCTGTTCCATATTGTGCAAGGATCGATCGGCATGTGCATTGGCGCGTGCTTCGCTGGCTTCGCTGCAGTGCATTCCTTTTGCTGCTGCCACCGACTTGCCAAGTGACACAGGCAAGGCTGCGACTGACTTCGCAGCCCATGCTGATGTGTACTGATATGTACTGCCCATTCCGAGACCACCAAACCTTTGAGATCGTCAAACCTTGTCTCCCTACGGCAAAACCGGTGAAGCAATAAGAACAAATACAACCCATCCCGCGAGCTTTCAGCACTCCAGTGACCCTTTTTAGAGGACTGAGATGTTGAAGACATGGAAACACCCCAAACTCCCAAAACTCATGCTGCCATTCATCTGTTTTGGTTCTATGTCCGAAAGCGATGCAGTCACCCCGCCTCAACCCCCCAGATGTCGACGCAAGCACCAATCCATCTAACACGGGAACCGAGTCTTCCTGGCCAAACATGGTGTGCGTCTTCCCGGAGAATTTGGTTCCGCCGGTGGCGAGCAACACCTCGGCTTGGGGATTAGGCCGGTTTGGTGGGTACAACGTCGACAGCGGTTGATCGACCTGGACCACGTTTGGGGCGATGAAAGCAAGCCACCTGACTTTTGAGTGGTTGCTGGTGCCACCCACAACCATAAAGGGAAATGGGTACACACCCTTTCAGGCCAGCCACTGATAGATGTATATCATGTTGTGTTCTATTATTATGTTGTGTTGTGCTGTTGTGTCATGTACAATGCATAATATGCATATGATTGATACATGCGCAGCAGCCTTAGCCAGCATTTCTGGTCACTTGATACGCCTATTGGGTTTTGCGTGAATCAGAAGCGCTTGTCAACTTTCAACTGGGATGCAATGCGGCTGTTGGTCCTTGTCAGCTTGAAACAAGATCTCGCTGGCATTCTAGACAAGTGGGTATGCAAGAACGACAAATATATGTTAAGCTCAAACTGCCGAACTCTTCATAAGGATGAATCTGAAACCTGAACGAAACAAATGAGCCCATCCGATTGAAACCCGGAAGTTTTTTAAAGCTTTTCATGCTCCTTTGGGCAATCAAATTTCTGTTGCGAGGCATGAGCAAGGCTTACTTTTGGCAGGACGGCGATCCTGAATCGACTGCCTTCGCGCCCCCTCCAAACCCTGACTGCTACGAACGGATTTTTCCCCAACACGCTCTGGTCGAGAAGGGCTCCCCACATTGTACCCGTCAATGGCAGATTGTACCAGCCCTTGAACCTGGCCAGGGGAGCGCAGACTGAAGTCGAGTGCGGCAGTCGAGAGCGGGCAGTTTTTCGGTGGCCGGCTTCACAATTTTTCTTTTTTACAGGAAAGAAGCCGTGCTCCACCTATCTTGAGACTGCGAGGGGTTCTACAAACTACAGTGACAAACGTGACGGGGTAGTTTCTTCAAGTGACAATTGCCATGCATGGCATTTGGACTGTTGCAGCTCCTAAGCTTCATTCACTGAAGGTCTTGCCAACCACCTGAAGGTGGAACCAACCAGGTCTGCCATGTTCCCTCTTTGAATTAAGAAGAGGGACGGACGACACACCGAACGAAGCGCGCTTTCGTGCCTTTGCGAACCAAAAGCGCCCCACCATGAAATCCCCAGTATGAACGGCATTTTGGGATGAAAAAGGCCGGATTTGGCCTGGTTTGGACCAGTGATGGACCAGAACCACAATGGTACCGCTATGAAACCCCTAACTGTAAACAAGAACACATATAAGATATTGAACAGTAACAAATGCAATAAAGTCCAGCATGGCAGCTGTTGGCTTCCTATGTTGCAACCTGTGAAATCCACGTGCGGTCATATTGTTGATTACACGAAAACAGCTGCATGGGCAGTTTGGTCGAGCGATCTCTGTCTTGACAAGAAACTATCCATTTTGATCCATTACGATCCATTTAGTGTTTTCTGGTTGTAAATCTATCTGTCAACCGTTCGTCAATGCAAGGCCGACACCAAACCCCCAAAAACATTGATTGACACTCTAAACATCTCTATAAACACTCAAAAACCCTACTCGTTTTTCTTTCCTCCCCCCAAAGCGGAAAGGATAACACCTCTGTTCCGCCTCTGTCCACCTGTTTTCACCCTTCGTTTCACCCGCCCCCACCACCTAAATAGGCCCAAAACTCCCTGTCTCTTTCACCCTGACCTTCACGCTCCAAGATTCCACTCCAAACCACGCAACCCGGTTCCGGGGGGTCCGAACACCACATACCACGGCACCGCTACAACGGTGCTGCCACACGCCTCAGAGAAGACATCTTCTTGTGTACTCTTTGGGCCCAAGACCCGTCCATTGAACCGGAAGTTGCTGGTCGCCTGGCGGCTCGACCGGCGTGGGTGGAGGGGGGTGAAATGGGTCGCTGAGTGCTTTTGGAGACCAGAAGACTCAAAGACTCTTGGGTTGGAGGAGAACCCAACTTGGTAACAGCCTGGAGTGGTTTGATAGTCACATTTCAACATGACATATTTGAACATATTTCAACTATACGTGAGTGGCGGTCAAATTTGTTGTGGAGTCGCAGCCATCAGGATTTGGTGATTGTACTATCGATGTTAACGTCCGTCATGTTATCGTTTTTTGGTGAGTGTGGTATCGTATTTCGAGCAAGACATGCCCGTTTGAACTCCCATGAACACTGACTGACTATTCGTCACTTTCACATTTTTTGAGCCTAGCTCACGTTATTATAGATATGTATAGATGAGTGTTTCCCTCCTTGGTGTTCAACACTTCCCACAATGCCTGGCATTTGTGGCCCGGCATTCTTTTCGGCACTTGACGCCCCGATGCTGTTGTGGATCGATTTCCAGCGGTTGGCCTTGTGCCTTTCCCAATTGGACCTCTCAACATCAGCCATCAAAACACTCCACCGATTCGTGTCTAAAAACCCACTCGTTGCAGAAGGTATATCAAAACCACTCGTGGTTCGTTTTTTCAGACTTGTTCAGACGTCGATGGTACTCGGGTCCTCCGGATCGACGTTCCGCCTCCCGGCTCCTCGTCGCGGGTCCTCCGATCTCTTCCCTCGGAACCCGGAACCCCTTTTCGTGGCGCCGGCGCGGCTTCCGAGCAGCGCCAAACAAGCCTCCCGTATTCTCCGGTGCGCTTTGGAGCAGGCTGCAATTGCCAAAAGGTCTGTCAAGGTCACAAAAAGCCTGCCATCAACTCCAGCGACCCTTGCTCGAGGTGATGGATTCGTTCCGCTGTTCCGCTGAAGCTGCTCCAGATCTTGCTTATCTTGCTTCCTATTTCTTGCCAGTTTGATCATTTCAGGATCATTTCGAAATGCCTTGATGGCAAACTGCAGGCTCGAACCATTCTGCTGCACAGCAGACTTCATAAACTTGGGGCTGCGGCGAAGACCCTGCGACGCCCACTGCAAGGCACTGGGATTGTTTCTAATGGCTGTGAGAAGAACCTTGTCGAATCACCAGGTGGAAAACGATTTACTATTGGCTTTCAAAATAATTCTTTTTAACATCGGAACAACACATTAAACAACGAAAACACAAACTTGAAACACAAGCTATGTTTTGCCATGCGTGTAACTTCTGAGTTCTGGCACACTTCCTCGGCGGCAAACTCCAATGCGGCACCGTTTTGTTGCACAGCCACACGAACCACTTCTGCATCAGCACGTAATTGGGAGCCTAAGAACTGCAACGCATGGCCATTTTGAGCAACAGCTGCAAGGCCGACCTCACGATTGTTCCTAGCCTTTTGGGGTAAATACTTGATCGACAACCAGTTCGCCGCCACCACTGCCAGGCAAAATGCATCGTCCAACAACGCGGAGTCGCTCGCGTACTCCAGTGCGGCCACGTTCACCCGAACAGCTTTCTGGAAAAAATCTGAGTTCTTCCGCAAACCTGGGCTGGTTGCGGCTAGTAGTGGTCGAGAAGATCATGAGACATTCAACTGAAGCATGCACCCCAAAAGCCAGAAGCGCTTTTGGACCCGTTTTGCTGACAAAACAGGAACAAAACCATCGTACACCTTCTGTAGAGATATGTCAATTGATTTAAACACATTTTACATATATTTGTTTTATAGATCCATAATAGGGCCAAATGAGAAACTCTTGGGTGCATCGAGCAGTGCCGACCTGTCATGTTGGATCACTTCCAGCATCACTGCTGGTGACATGCGCATGTCTGCGGACACGTACTGCCAGTTGTAGATGCTCTGTTGGACGGCATAAACAGCTATCTCAGCATCACTGCAGCAGCCTGGGCCAAGCTTCAAACTGAAGACTGGCCAGTGAGTTCATCAAGCTAACAGGGAGTGTTTCCTTACTTCACTAGATAATCATCTTAGTACAGATTCTTGCTCTGACAAGTTCGTGCAGATCTTGCTCCCTGAAGCTTCACCACTCGCCTGGATAGATTTGCTTCACTTCCTCCAGTAAGGATCCTGCTTGCAATGCCTCAAATGCTCGAAGACGTTGTGGATCCCTGCGCTGCAACAACACCTCCGGCATCTCCTTTTCACTCGAGAGACCTCCAGCCAGAACCTCTCCGAGTTCAGCTCCATTCAAGTGTTCCAAGGGCAAACCACCAGGCAGAAGCAACAACTGTTCTGCGACCGGGATGCCCAGATCGCCTCGGTCGTCGACGATCGGTTAGCAAGCGAGCGAGCGAAAAGCAAAGAAGCAAGCAGCTTCTCCCATCGCACCAGGGGCTGGGCCCCCTGAACCGACACCAGCGGAGTCCAAACCGGACCAACGACCACCGGGACCGGGACAGGGAACGGTCTCGGCTTTTTCCGGTGGAGGTCCTGAAAACGAGCTGAAAACGACGAGGGCTTTAATGTGCATCTCAAAGCTTTTTGTGCGGCGTATCTGATGAGACATGTTTGGGACATCACTAGATCGCAGAAGTCGGAGCATAAACGCTCCGTCATTCCTTTGCATTCCCTACCACTGTTGGTGACTGCTGTTGTGAATGACCATTCTCTGTCATGTCTTAGGTTGAAAAGGATACTTATAGTATAGCCTTGTTCGATGTTTGAACCGGGAATGCCAAAGACTCAAGAAGAAAAACTGCCACCTGAAAATTAATCACAAGTTGCGTGCGATGGCCTCCTTCAGCTGTTTGATGCTCCAGTGCTTCGCAGCCTTTACTTGTGCTAACTCTTCGCCCGACAAACTTCCGCAAATGCGGACCTTGAGAGCCATCGCACCTGGGACCTTGCAAAAGCGTGGTCACCTCGATGCCAAGACGCAGACCGTTGCAAGTTCAGCATCAAGGATTTATGCTGAACCCCCACAAAGATCTCCAGGGTATCGAATCCCATGAAGGAAGAGGGTGTGGCTGTGGGTCACTCTGATTACCATTCTCTACAGCAAGTGTATTTTTTGATGCATGCAAGAAACACCGTCAAGATGTATCCGTTCAGTTGCTCTGTCTTGCTGTCCATCAGAGTGTATCATCAGAATCATGTATCCTGCCCTTTCCTTCCTTGTTCCAAATTTTGTATTCTTTCTTGACATGTACTCCTCAGTACTCCTCAACCAAAGGCGCATCGGTCATCGGGCTCAGTAACTGAATTGTTGTTCTCTGGAGACCGCAGAACCTCCAAACGGCCTCTTGGTTGTTCCCATCTGAATGGGATATATCATGGCATATCACCATTCAGTTCACTTTCCACATGTCATGAGCTGCCAAGGAAACCTTCCAGTGAGAAAACACAAAAAGCTGCATGAACGACGCTAAACACTTGCTTTTGTCCCAACCTTGTCATGGCATCACCCACAATTCGTCAAGAGCACACTGAGAACCAGCTGAGCGATTCGGTGCACAGCTCAGTTCGGCCGATCGGATGGCCGCTAGACTCCCGACCTTCCCGATCCAACGCAGCCAGCCCAACAAACCCTGTGTGTGGGCACACAGGCTATGAAGAAGAGGCTCCTATTTGTTTGAGACGTGATGAGACGCGATGAGTGATGTTCCAAAAACCATCCAACAAGGGGAATACGAGGTGAGAGGCTGAACCCAGCTCCAGATTCTGCCACATTTCAGGAAACCCCCGGTTGCTCCACAGCACCGCCCGAGAATCGTCGCCTGGGTGACCCTGTTCGAAGCCATGTTCGAAGCCGCTTCGGTCCTCTGATCGGGTGACTCCGTTGCTTTGGAACATCTCGATGTGGTCGACAATCAAAGGTCGACCATCCGAAGCAGCTCGGCCTCCATGATTCCAACCACCCAATAGGCTATTATAGGCTATTTCATAGGCTAGGGCTCTGAATAAGTCGCAAAGACTTTCCTGTTTCACGAACGCTGTAGTACTTCCACGAGAACCTCGTGGAGAAAGCATGTGAAACGAAACGACACCGGTTTCACCCCGTGGCACCGGTTCACATCCCATCCAAACCTGGGATGTCTTCCTCAGTGTCTTCCTCGCAGCGTTTTCTCAAGAACCAATATCTGGTCATATTGGGATGTCTTCCTCGACATGTCATTCTCGTTCCTTCGTTCCTTCGATCCTTCGATCTCTTATCTTCCAAAACCATGCGCACTCTCTTCCCAAACCAAGTGGCGCCAAGTTCGCTTCCCTGAAAGACTCATCCAGGTTCCCACCAGAACCACTGCCAGGCAACCTGGGAAAGCGGGCACCCTCCACGTTGGTAGAGGTCCGGTGAGGGTGATGAATGTGTTCAATCGTTTTCACCAGGAATTCTGGTAACACGGCTTTCACCGTTCGAGATGCATTTGTGTAAAGTAAGTTGTGTACTTTTAAAGATATTTTACATTCTTTTACCACACAATCCTTGCTTTCAAGACCGGTGAAGCGAACCATGTCGGACGAACGAATGGCCCCCGGCTGATTCATCTTGTTGCTTTCCAGCTTCAACGTGAAGTAATCCACCTACACGGCTCGTGCCGCGGTGTGCGGCTGCAATCCCGAGTCGCTCGAATCCGGGGTACAACACCAACCTAGTGCTTCGAAAGCACGACCATAAAAGAAGGAACAAGTGGAACATGTTCATTTTGTTACTTTTTTATTTGGGGCCGGGGCGTTACTCTTTTATTGTATTTAAGAATTGGAGTTTTAGGGGTGTCCCTCCATACTTTCGAAGCGCATCATGTCATGAGTATACTCGTATGTAGCTGCTTGGGGCTCATAATGCTTAGAAGACAGGTGAAAATGCCTGGCCCAATGCACCTTGCAAGCGAGCATGTTCTACTTGAGGCGTAGCAAGCTATTCAGTTGCATTTAAAGACTCGAGCTTGATTACTTGATCCGGACACAATAAGTGTGGAATTGCACCTTTGATCACAGTTCGCGGGAAACAAATGTAACAGACTTTCCCGGAATCGTAGCGGAATTTCCCGGAGAGACAATTGGACCGTGAATGAATAAACCAAGCTTCATTGCCTGACTGCGGCCGTCTTCGAAACCAAGCAACATGTAGGCCAGGGAGGATCAGTTTATCTTCAACCCTGCTACCTTCAATTGTGAACTTAATGAAAACTTCATTGGAATATTTTAAAGATATTTAGAGGATTTCAAGGCGAGAGTCAAGAACAATTTGCAAAAGAAAGCCTGAGGTGGAAACATGGCAGTGATTGACTGCAACACGTCTTTTGCGATCTTCCAATTTTCACTATGGCTGCTTTGTTCCTTTTTAAGGAACCATTTTTGCATCAAAAAACCGTTGTTCATCCTTTTGGTTTTCTTGCAACATGGAGGTTCTAGAAACCAAACAGTCAGCTGCAAACATCTTCAAACAATGTCTATTGCAAATGAGATTGATTCTCTGCTGATTGAAGCAATTCTGGTAGTACAATTGAACGTTGAACTGAATCTTTGCAATGAGAGCTTTGTTTGTGAGAAGTACAATAATCAAGACAAATGAAAATGCAAGAATATGCAAGAATGAATCACCATGATTTGGGTACGGCTCCAAATTAGATACACCCAAAGCCACAACCCTCAAGCAAGCAAACACTTCAGGTGCTGCCTCTTCGACTGCTGGCTTGACGCCTTCGTCGATATCCTCGGCAGTTTCAGATCTTCTTCATTCTTGAGAGAAGGTCCTGGAATTTGTGTGGACATGAAGAAAAGTTGTTCTCCAATGAACTAGATGATGGATAAAGAACACCAGAAACAGCTTGAATGATATCCTCCAAGCTTTTCAACATCTCACACCCGAACTAACCCATCTCAAACACCCACACACCAAACATGCCAGCAGGGATGCTGCAAACATCAGCCCCACAACCTTCTCACCGTCGCTCTGGTTTTACATCGCCGAGAGCCCACAATGCTGAGAGCCCAACGTCATCCTCGACAAACGGACGGATGCGACAAATTACTCGAACTCCACCACGCACGGCCTGAGGCACAGCACACGCTCGACCACACATGCGGACCAAAGCAAATCATGTGGACCACACGGCCTGCGCCGATCGGACGCACCTACGTCTGATGAGTCGGTTTTTGGTCTCGACCTGCAATCTGAAACCTTTTGGGCTTATTACTGTGGGGGATACTGTCCATCCAATAAAGATGGAAGTGCACAACCTCCTGTTTGTAGATGAACATGGTCTTTTTGCGGGACCATGCCATCCTCGTAACCACCAGGACGTTGGAGCGGGGGCAACTGAGATGGACTTCTGGACTTCCGGCCTGCACCTTGTCGTGCAATTCGCGCCTCGTTTGCTCCACATCCTGGGACGGTCCAAAAACCCGCGCGGTGCACGTGAACGAACGCGCACCAAAAAAAGAAGGAACCAGTACAAGCAACATGAGGTCCACATGAGGCAAACGTGCTTTGGCACTTTTGGTGCATTGGTGACGGATTAGGGAATGAGGGAGGGACCCTCAACTTACCAATCAACCATTCTATTCTATGGCTTCAACCTCCTAGGTGCTATGTTGATCTAGGAGACTGACATCATGTCAGTGGCTAGGCTATGTCTATATATTCCGTCATATTCCTTTCAAGGATTGCGCGCACGTGAATCTCCAAGCGTCCCGCCTCCAGCATCAAATTGCTAATGCCGTGGTCTCCGGCAATCTTGGCAACCTGCCAAAGTGCTGCTAATATCGAGAAACCACTGTTGCTTGCCGATTTGTTGACCCTTACGATGGGAAGATAGCCTGCTCAGTTGCTCATCCCCAAAACTACTTGGACATCTACCTTAATTCTGGGCAGATTGGACAGTCCCGCTAGTCACAATTGCTTTGATACGGGTGTCTTTCCAACCCATCACCATTTGTGGGTGCAAGAAGACATAGTCTCTTCTCACCACGAATGTACCGCACACGCACCTTGGCCATCTCGTCTGTGAGTTGTTGCAAGGCTTGCAACAACTCCTGCGGGTGAATGCCCAGCTTGCGACCTAGAAAGCAAGGAAAGTGATTGGAAGAAAGGTCGGCGAAGGGTTTCGGGTTGAGTGTTCAATCAAAGATCCTGGATAAGGAATACGGATATAACTGATAGTGTTTGACATTTTTTTCGGTGGATACCGCATATATGATATATGTTATTATATGTTTATACACATCCAATACATTCCAATATCTGTTTGTCATATATGATCATATCATATCTCTGAGAAGGATCTGATGCAACCGCTCCTTTCACCATCTTTCACCAACATGCCACCATGTACCACTAGGCTCCCTGCAGCGCTTGATGGCTGTGGCCTTGGGTGTGCTACGCGTGTCCCTGTGGAATCAACGGGTGGCTCGCTGTGAGAATGGCAAAGGACGTTACATCGAGCCGTATGGGGTGTGAGGGAGGCCCAAGTGTAGCGATTTGCTTTGGTCTAGAAGGGAGAAGGGTGTGGAGTCTGTTCATCTTAGACGTCTTCAAACGTCTCCAACATCCCCCTTCGTACCGACAGATCCCCAGGATTTTACGTATTAAAATCCTACTGAACCAAGGTGACTTTGTATTTTTTCATTGGTTCCCTAGCCTTTTTTCCCAACGGGTGCTTTTTGTAAAATCCTTTGGACCGATGTGTGTTCAGGGGGTTGGGAACCAAGGAAAAAACAAGGAGTCCAGGCTGATCAAACGTTTAGTAAAATCCTGGGTATCTACCTTAGCTGGTCCCTCCAGTGCCCTCCCAAAGGCACTCAAGCAGCGAGCGTGCTTTATCGACTGTACCACTGTTTACATTAAAAAACAAATGGTTACATGGCCCCATACGCAAGCCATCATTTGATTAAATTGATTGCATCTTATGTTGTATATACAGCATGTGTATCTATCAGCCGAGCAGATATTGTAAGATCTGTAAGCAAATGCTGCAACGAAATTGGTGACAAGCACAGCCACAGAAAAAAGCGTCCTCTCCAGTATCTCTAGAATATCTAAAATCCTAGCTCAACCCCAGCATCTCTACCTTGTGAAATCCTACAATTTTAGTGAAATCCTGTAGTCTTACGTGTTTTTGGAATCCTGGCGCCTTACCCTCAGCAAAAGGATTTCAAAAGAGCCCCATTTCTTGTGTATTTTCCTGGGGTCCTACCTGACTTCCTTATCAGCAAATTTTTTCGGAAGTTTCTTTTTTCTGAAATTATCACGTCTACCCCTAGGATTTCAGTATGGCGCAACCAAGGGGGATTCCAACTAAAACGTCTTCCAACGTCTCCATGCAAGAACATTGATGCTTCCTTTTTGGGGTCAGCCATTCTGGTGCCTAGACTGTCTGCTTCGGTCCGACTGCCGACGCTGCACGAGTCCAGACCAAGAGGCCAGAGCTTGGGCGTTCCTCTCAGCCCCGGCGCGTCGAACTTCTTCCAGAGCTTCCCTGGGCCAAAAAACAGAACAAGAGGGGATGGACATGGATGGACTCTAAGTTGTTGAATTTGGCGACTTGGAATTGGGTCCAAATTCTGTGACTGGATAGAACATAGCTGATAGAATTCTTCTGGTTGGGTTTCAGAACGGTTGTCGACCTTTTTCTCGAAAGAGCATGCTTGAACGAACAGCGACGAAGGTCCCAAATGTCCAGCCATTCGCAGGTCCCTGATCTGGTTGGGACGCAAAGAATCATCAGTGTGGGGGTGGAAACGCCTGATCTGCCGGAACTATGTCTATGACGACAGGAAAACACCGCCACTCAGCTTCTGACGCTTTGCTTTCCAACGAGGCCAGGAGCTCCTGCAACCCGGAAAGGCTCCTGGGGGTTCCTTGCTTGGTTTAGGAGCCGAGAAAGGGATGGAAAGGGTGCTTCCTTAGCCCTGCAAGCTTGGATACATGGAGTTTCAAGTGCCTCTGCTATTGGAAGACAGGATCCACAAACAAGCTGCGGTGATGCAATCATGTTGTCAAACACCAATCATGTTGTCAAACAGCTAGTGACCCAAAGCTATAACTTGGGCAACAACTTTCTCATTAAACAGATCTTTGCGTGCCTTCTAGAACTCTAATATAGGATATCAGTCACATGCTTTAGGCCAGGGCATTACATGTTGACCCAAATGCTGAAGCCATTGCATCAAGCCGTTAATGCCTGGCTCCCGAGCGAAATGAACAGCCGTCCAAGGCATTAAAAAGGTTTCTCAAAAAAACCTCATGGCATGAAAATCATCCCTCCGGGACAACAACCTGTCAGTAAACCACCAATGACCTCTTACCACTCATTTGGAGAAGACATCTCGTTGAAGGGTGCTGTTTTTGGAGGAGGAGGAGGCTACCCGGACAGGCTGGGCTTCTAAAAACCCACCAGACAGCGGACAACGCGCCGCGACGACCCTCCCCTCCCCGCGGCACGTCGCAGGACCCGCCCACCGCGGAAAAGGAGGGACGCCCGTCTCTCGCCCGTCTCTCGGCTCGCCGGCTCTTTTTGGGTCTGAAGCCGGTCCAGCTGGACTCGGGTCTCAGGGGGATTGATCAAAGACCCTCTTAAGGTCTGAATGTGACCACGGAGTCTGAAAGCTGAAAGCGGTCAGAATCTGTTTGTCAGGTTCTGCATGCATGCGAGAAAGACCATGGTCCAAGCAGTGGACAATGCCGCAGCGTGTCGGTGAAAAGAACGGCAGTGTGGTTTCAAATTACAAGCTGCAATCTTTTCTCGAGGATAAATGCGCAGTATTCTTTGCAACCAATAGGCATCTCCCCAATCAACAAAACAACGAAGCAAGTTGGTAGGACCCGAAACCGTGGAGGAGGCTGTACATGGCTCCCTACCTGTCTATGTGCTCAAAAAGCCGTATCTTGTTCGGTGCCTACCTGTAGTCATGCCGATCCCCCGATCCCCCACGTGATACTCTCTACTCACACCCAACGATGAGAAAGGGAGGTCCAGCGACTTACACTTACTCTCGGAACTCACATGGATGTGAAGTTCACCCTCCTGTTTGTAGAGGATTTAGTTGTTTTCCAAGGCGCCAGGCCATCCACGCCACCATCAGGACGTTCCAGTGAGTGTAGGTCTAAACATGAAAGCGATCGCAGTAGACAATAGCCCCCCCTTGGAAGACCACTTTACAGAGATAGCTCCAAGTCCATGTTTGGGGTGGAGAGTGCAACCTCTACGAACAGCTGTACTTTGACGATCAGATCATCCCTCAATTAGGATGGATGAGCCTCATGATTCAGTCGATGATCGAGCTCCATGCAGAGACTCTCAGGGGCGAAGCGAGTGAACTCTCAGCCGAGACTAACAGATCCAACTCTTGCCACGCTGGTTGGTGCCTCGCTGGTTGGTGTCCCCAAAACACATGATCTTCAGATGGAGCCCACGAACCCAACGGATCCACACAAAACCAGAGATCAACGAGAACCCTTTGCATGAACGACATTTGGGAAGAGGAACTTTGATTCGGCATTTGGGTCACGTCTGCAGTGTCTCAACTGAACTGCTTGGACGTGAGGAATCAAAAACTGCTCCCTGTAAGCCTTGTCAAGGACTGCTAGCATTGAACAGTAGGTTTGAAAGCCGAATGTGCCCCCAAAAACATTGGACATCAGAGATCAAGAATCTCCAATGTGACATGAACATCTGCTTAATGTAGACTCTTGATTAATGTCCCCCATGTGAAGAGCATGTCCAATTCAAATGGGAGGGTTTACTGATCAAGAGTCCACAATGAACCAAAGACATGCTTGAACCGCCGGACTCATGAGGTCCATGGTATTTTGGACCCGCTGAGAGTGGGGTGGCCGTCTATCCGGTCTATTCTTGGGCGGCTGTCAAGCATGGTCCGCTGTGGACCACTTTCTCGGGCGCGTTTTGGAAAAGCGTTTCCACTGCCAGCTTAGTGGCTGTGAGCCAAAATCACGTGCTCTTGATACTTCACACAACACACACATAAATAAAAATGAACAGAATCGTCAGGTGTAATACCCTCTCCAATCTGATACGTCTAGACGTTTTCTCAGTATGCAGGATGGCCCCCAACCCCCAAAGATCTTCTGGAGGGATACAAAAACAGCTGGCACTAGGATGTTGTTGAATGCAAACAAATACCATCAACTACCTGAATTGGTTGGGGCCCATCCTGGTCTTGCTGTATTGCTGTGGTCTTTGGCTCATCTCTGCAGTATCTGTGGCCGGTGTCTTTACATCTCCAGTGAAGGCCTCGAGGATAAGCTTCGCACCCATCGGCCTGCGCAGGCGTCGGCCTTCGAAGCGAAGGAGTTGTTCACCTAGGTGTTTCCCACCCAAAATGAGCAGAATAGACTACCTGAAAGGGTCAACCTGATTTGGGGCTGGGTGTTGACCCGCCATCCTCTTTTTCACCTCACAAGCAACTCACATGCTTTTTCTCGTTATAGGGTGCTTCAAAGAGGGCCCTGACTCCTTGAGTTTCCCACCATAGAGTGTTTCTACCTGTTCACCCGTGTTCTTGTGGGGTGCCACCACTCCAAGAAGAGCTCTTGCAGGTGATCCATGTTCTTCCTGGGGTTCACAGGGATCGAACTCCATCCGCGCGTCCGACATCACACGACCGTTTCCAGAGAAAAAGCCGCGTGCGGCACGACGTGCGCGACCTGCATAACCTCCGCTTACGCGGCCTTTCACCACGGGTTCCGTGGAGGTTTTGTCCACCTGATAACAGCTGTTTGGTCGGATCTTCATGGTCATGAACAAGCGGGCATGAAGCCACTTCCACCGATCAGGCGGTCAAAGCTGGGGGACCACAAACAATGAACATGAACGGTCAACCTACCTGGGAGGTCAACCTACCCTGGTTTTAACAGGGCTCCGAGTCCTCACCTGCCATTTCAGGGAGTGTGTTCACCGTTCGTATTGGCCGTATTGAAGAACTACAGTAAGTCGATGAGGGTCGGTACTCGATGAGGGTTGGGACATGGAACACCGCAACCCCAGCAGAATTTCAAGATACTTCATCTTCGCTCCTGCTGGAGTTCCTCTGTGGGCTGTGCTTCACTCGATATGATCATATCCGGCGGATCGATCCGAATGCGGCCATCTTCACCCAGATACGCGGCCATGGGACACGATGAAAAGCAACAAAGGAAGGAGGGAGTCGGAGTCAGTTGTTTCTTGGATTGCTGATTTTTGCCCTCTTCAGCCCCACATCGGATTCTTCCCCTGGTAACATGGAAGAAAAGTAAGTATCATTATCATGGGTGATAAGAACCTCAGAAGATACGAGTTCTCAAAACAAAAACTCACATGGAAGTGCAACTCACATGATCAGTGGGGAAGACCTCCCGCTAGAAACAGAATCTTGTTCGATTCCAAGTGAGTTCCCAGAGCGCTTCTTTTTCCCAGCTCTTTTTCCTTTTGAGCTCCGCCCAAGGTTCGATCCTTCCCAGACCATCCATGCAATGTATCGGAATAAGTAGTCATAGATTTACACATTTATGACTTGTATATGACATCTTATGACACATCCATGTGAGTAACTGTTCCATCTATGGATGGTCTGGGCTTTGGTGGAACGACAAAACCATCTGTTTGACCCCCAAGGTCGAAGCCCAGCCTCTGGCACCAGCTCCCCATCCGTCGTGACCATCAAGTCAGCTTAGCTTTTGCATCCAGGCCTTGCGACGAACGAACGGACGGATGGCCCGGACGGTTCCAGGGCGCTTCGGGTGGGTCTCCTTGCGGTTCCTGGATGGTCCCAGCCCGGTTGGGGGCGCTGCCTGGTTTCGATGTCCTGGCTGAAGGGGAAAGGCATGAGATGCAAAGTCGTTTTCAATGACTGAGTGGTGGAACAGTGGAAGAGATCCATATATGGTCTCATTATTAATATCGTGTATCTATTGTGGGGAGAGAGACAAAGAGAAAGAAGAAAGAAGAACCCTGCTATTTGCAGCATTGTACGTTGTACATCTCAGGTGTTGTAGGAGATCTTTCGTCAACGGTACCTTGCAAAGAGCAGCCTGCGGCTCCACTCGCTACACATCCCATCAAGTTGCAGGTCATGTCTCCAAACTGAACACACCAAAACACATACACCGATGTTGTTGTGAGGATTTGTAAAGAGCAAAAGGCTACTGAGCTAGCCTCCCTGATGTTCAGATCACCTTCTTGGAGTGCAAAGGAGGACCTCCAAGCAATACACAGCCCCCTTGGAGAATACTCCCCCTCGGCTGTCTACTCATCGGTGATACTTCACACCTTCGGTGAGAAACGAGACTCCCGATGGCAGCCCCCAACACCACGGCACCACACCGAAACGAAGGGTCCCCGCCCTCAGCCGCCCAGTCAGCCGCACCCACACGGTACAGCAACCCACAAAACCACCACAACAAAACCCATGGAACCACCAGCAGCACCTGTAGCTTAGCACTGCAGTTTTGACACCACAAAAGCATGTGGCGCCGTTGCCGCCGCCCGATCTCCATCTCTTTCACCTTGCCGTGTCTCCAGGCTCACCAGACGCGTCCGTGCACCAGACGCGTCCGCGCTCCGACCCACCGCTCCGACGGCTCGCCCACGCCTGTTTAAGAGCAAACGGTTGGTATGCCAACTCACCAAGGAGGCTCGATGGCCCACCGAGACGTAGGAGGGCACCTGGAGGGCGGAGGCGGAGGAAGAGCTCATCGCTTTCGAACGACACCAGGCGGGGAAAGGCAACACTGCGTGGTTGGTCTTTTTCCGCCAACCACTTCCGGACATCACGATACAGCAGCAGTTCCTCATAGAACAAGCGCATAAGTCCGGTACTGCTTATGGAGGGTTCACCCTTGACTTAGTCAAAGCATTTAACTTAATACCACGACAGGTTGCAAGACGATTGCTTATTGTATGGGGAGCCCCTCCTTTTGCCATTGACTTCTGGATTCGTTCACTAAATAACATGTCCAGAATACTACAGGTTAGGGGCTTTTGCAGTTCAGCGGTTCCATCCACCACGGGAACTCCAGAGGGGGACTCGATGTCGGTGTGTGCGATGTTGGCGATTGCTGCTACTTTCTTTAAGCGAATGTCTATTCAACAGGTAACACCATTTACATACGCAGATAACTGGACATTTATGTCCACAGATCAACGATCATTGTTTCGAGCTTTCATGGATACACTGAATTTTGCTCACGCAATTAGGATGAAGATTGATATTCGTAAATCATGGGGGTGGGGCACAAATGCAGATATGAGAAAGTTCTGGCGACATGTCAACCAAGTATTCCCCTCCGAGAATGTTGAGATCGATGTTAAACTTGCGTCAAAAGACCTAGGCTGTATGCTCCAATATTCTAAGCGAACTTTTTTGGGTTGCTTGAAAGACCGGATGGAGGCCGCAAAATGGCGTCTCTTTCGCTTAAAAAAAAGGGAATTCTCCATTCCAAATAAAGCGTCTAAAATCCAAATGTCTATATGGCCTCTGGCCTTCTATGGGGCAGAGAGTCAGGTCATCGGGGATTCCCATTTTGCTCAACTTCGACGCTTAGCCACGGATGCCCTCATTGGCAAACATAAGTATGCCTCTTCATTCTTGGCGATGCAATTCCTGTCAGATCGAATAATGGACCCTCTCTTATATGTGATCGTTTCTGGCCTTTGTGCTATTCGCCGTCTGTATCATGTTAACCCCACTTTAGCACAGACCATGTGGCAGGAAGTCCTCTCCGCTAGTGTGCCTAGGGGCCCTTGTAGCGCACTGGCAGTATACATTTACAGAAAATTCGCTGGACTCCACTCCCCAATGGTCTGATTGATCTGCCAAGTGGACATCAGCTTGATCTTTGTAAACAATCCACAAAAGAAATACGTATTACTAGTCGTCTCGGATGGTCACATTTTGTCCATCAACAAGTCCGTCATAGGAAAGGCATTACCGCTATGCCGAGTGACGTGTACATTCAAATGAAAATCCTCAACCAGTTTTCAGCCCAAGAACAAAAACTGTTGGCCCTGAATATTGCAGGGGGTTTTCAAACGGCAGCCGTAAAGGCTATTTGGGAAAGCACTCAAACAATTGAATGTGAACATTGTAGTCAGCCAGATACGCATTTGCATCGTCTTTTGCACTGTGCACCGTTCGAACATGTACGGAATGACCATACCCAAGCGATTGAAATCATCACTGCCCATACACATCTTGCTTGGTTGCCACTTCCTACTGAACATCCTAATCAGGTAATTTATAATCGTCTTCGGCTTGGTCGGGTGGGGCCATTCCTTGACCCGCAATATGAGCCGACAGATCGACGAATCGCTATTTACACTGATGGCACATGTGACCGACCTCAAGAACAGAATTGCTGTAAAGCCGCATGGGCGGTAATTCGTCAAGTATGCCTTGATTCTGATGACCCGTCTTTAAATGATTTTGAAGTTCTCCAAGTGTCTCATGTAAAAGGTATGCAGACCATTAATCGGGGCGAACTTGAGGCGGTCGTGTGGGCTACAGAATTCTATTCACAACAAATTCCACGCCCGTTAGTTGATATCTATACAGACTCTAGCTTTGTAGTATACATGGTTCAGATGGTAAGTCAAGTTCAACCCACCCAATCTAGATATAATCTTGCACACTGTGATTTAGTTCAGCGCCTTCGACTTGCTTGGGACAGGCACAGTTTCCAAATTCATAAGGTTAAGTCTCATCGTGACTACTCCGAGGCCACTAATACGCAGGATTTGTACACCATCATGGGGAATACGTTGGCAGATGAAACTGCTAAGGTTATTAACCGGCAGGATCTTCCTACTTTTAAAGAAGCAGCTGACAGTATTTCCATTCACAGTGCACGTCAAATGGAGGCTCTGTTGTGTGTTTATCGCTACCTTTGTACACTTAATCAGCTCCAGTCTACATTACGTCTAGAGAAAGAACGAAATGAAAATGAGGCATTGCAAGCGCAGGGGCATGACGAAATCTCCCACCTTAAAACTATTTTTAGTGAATGGAAGGTTGAGGGCCCTCTATGGAAATTCACTGAAGACTTACCAGAGGTGGTGGCTCAGGCTTGCCCAGCGGGATCTCAAATTGCTAAATGCGTGTGGCACTTTTTCCGAGCCTTAGAATGGCGTCATCCAGACCTCCCTATCCTTCCCTCTGACCATGGGATTACATGGTATGAACTTGTGGTACATTTCACATTGTATGCTGGCCGAACTCTGCCTATATGGTTAAAAGTGTGTGAGAACCAGCCAGCCAAGCCGTTTGACTTTGCCTCTCCAGAAGTTGCAGTGCAGAAAGCAGAAGTACGTAGTTTGTGGCATCAAGCAACAAATTTCCGCAATGTTGTTCAGTACCTTGAAAGCACCGCAAAAATAAAGCTGTACCCTCGCTTTAAGAAATCAGGGGCGTCGTCTTTGGTGCGTTTGGGATTTCATCGTAGTCTGGTGGGGGGCGTGGCGTCTCGTCCGCAATTACCTCAAAGTGCCCTGGCGATTCGGCTATTAGATCAGTATGCGACTCAACCAGATCAGCCGTACCCCCTTAATGTTCGTCTCCCCTTTACTCCAGACTTGACGCATGCGGTATATGGCGAAGATTTGCCGCCAGATATTCCGTTTAGTCTTCGCCATAATCTTTACCAACGGATGAAGAAGTGCATTCGTTTGCATAAACCTTTGGATACAATTTGCCTTGATTCGTGAATTAGGAATTCTATTTTATCCTCTTGCTAGGGGTATAATTCGCTTGATGGGACCCCAGGGGATACACCGGGGACTATAGCGGATCCTTTTGCATGTGATGTTACAGATTCTGTGTCTAGCTAATCCTCTGGTACCCCTGAAAGGGAAGGACCGTGAGGTGCGTGTGGATGGATGCGCAAGTTGTCTGTGGCAGAAAGTTTTGTTCTTTTTCCTTTTTTCGGAGATGAAACGAACTCAAGGGTTGAGTTTTATCTCTTTCACCTTGAGCGATTGGAATCATGTCTTTATGTGTTCACCTTTGCAAGTTTTTAAACGTGTGTACTGTGTGTGTGTGTCACACCCTGGACAAAGGGTCTCACCCCACCACTTTCACACAGGCAGGGGATGGAGACACCTGTATTGCTTCTCCATCAGCGAAGCTGGCAATACATGGTGAGGATATCAGTTCCGGACGCGGAACTGACGTACCTGCTTTCAACACAATGACTCCACTGGTCCACCCTGCCGCTGTTCGTTGTTTTCATGGTCCTTCATGCTACCACCCCCCAAACAGGTTTCTTTCAGCAGCTGCACCGCCGATTTGATTGCTGCCGCCTTTGTGACAACAATGTTAAACCTTTCAAGTGCTCGGACCCATGCACCTTTCTGTTCTCTCACCTTCCTTCCCAACGTGATACTTGCATTAACTGAAAATCCAAGTTCGAAGTGTTTATGATTTATATCTTTTAAAATGACATTATATAAATCTATTCTTTCACCTTTAATCACCTGAAAAACTATATATATATATATATTTGTCACCTGCTAAATCGATCACTTCGAGAGGAGAACATCGCGGTAGCAAACCGAGCACGGCGTGACCTCGCGTGACCTTCGTTGGAGAACCCGTATGATGCTTGTCGGACCTACCAACCAGCACGTTTGTGGCAGACCGGAAGTCTTGAACGGAACTTTTGACATCGTCATCTTTCATGGATGACATGGGAACAATCAAGATTAACAAGTCTTGTATTACACTTGCTCCATCAACAAACGTCGTTTGATGTCATTTGCATCCTTTCCAAAGCATCTTTGAAGCATGGACGCCACATATCTGGGAACACCCTCCACGTTTGATCGCGGCCAAAAATAACAAACAACAACAACAAAATCCTTCGCGACTCGTCACGAACGTCGCCTTCTGCCGCAAGAGCTGGTAGGCCACCTTCCTGGTTTCGATCCAACGACGGGGTCGTTTCCGGGATCCTGCGATCCCTCTGCGATGGTGTACCCCCAAAAGCATGAAGGTCTCCAGGCTTTCAGAAAGATTTTTTGATGACCACCCGCTGGTGTCCTCCGTAATGCGCGAGGAGTCTATACTGTTGGACTCCCTTTTCGAAAGCGAAGGATTTGCTGTTGCCCTTGTGCTCGTGCGGAGGCTGGCTTTCCCCAACAAAGGCAGGGAAAACGCCGCAGCTCTTCGCTGAAAGGAATGGGGGAGTGAGTGGGATTTTCTTGGAATGTTTTGGGATTGGAATGTTGGGATGTTGCCACTCATTGGAAGGTCTATTTCATGTCGGAATGTGACCACCTCCAAGACCCGCCGAGGCACTCATTCTCATCATCCAACGCCGAGGTCGCCTGGAGTGTGAAAGACGCAAGCTGCTCAGGTGACCTTGCAGTGATCATTGTTCATGCTATAATCAAAATACTATATCAAGATATATAGTATAGACGATAATATATACCAGCTGCTTCCAAGGGGTTTACCAATGGACAACCCTACACTGCTTATAGGTCACCATTGGACACCCATTGGAAGCTCTAGGTATGTTTGAATTTGACCTCAATCATGATGGAGGAATAACCTAGAATTTCGATTTACAATATGACACACGGTCAACAATTTTCAGGTGCGACACACTCCAAAGAAACTTCAAACTCACTCTTGAATATGTATATATATATATATATGCTACCCCCGCCAAATGTCTACCTTTTATATAGTTAATTCTATTTTGATTCCCAATTTGAGTTTGATTAACTCTATATCAATCTTAATTTGATTCTAGTTCAATGCATTGTTTAGTTTCAGCTAGTTTTAATCTTATACCATTCAATTTCAGTTGTTTTACAATTCTAGTTTAATTCTATGTTGAGTACCAATTTAATTTTGAGTAGTTCAACTTTTATTTGAACTCGATTCCAGTTCAATGCAAATCTATTTCTAATTCAATACAAATCGAATTATGATTTAATTATGACTTTATTCTAGAAAGAGGGTTTTGCTGGGGGTGTGATTTTAAGAAAACAGTCTTTAAGAAAGCAACACATAATTGACATCCTCCTGAATGACCTAATTCTAATTCAACTCCAATTGAAATCAAATTCAAATCTATTTAAATCTACTGTAATTAAATGTTACTTCTTTTCAGTTATAAATCAATTAAATGTTAATGTTGAGTAAATTCAATATATAGCATGTTTTAATTGGAGTTCAATCCAAATTTATTTCTAGTTAACGGTTACTTCTTTTCAATTTAATTTCTATGCAGTTTATGTGTAAATCGAATATAATTACAGTTTTTCTAATCTAGTTATGTCACATGTCTGATATGCAATTCTAATTTGCTTCTAGAGAGTGCGCCTTGCTTTTAAAATGAACGCTTTGTATATAATTTATGTGTTGCTTTCTCAAAGGTTGTCTTCTTAAAATCACACCCCCAGCAAAGTCCTCTCTCTAGAATAAAGTCAGCCTCAAAAGATCGTTTTGTTGGTTTTCATTATGTTGTTTTTTTGTGTTTTTTGGTGTGGAGATCCAAAAACCCAAAAACACATTGTGTTTTTTGAAGGTTTATTGTACTAGAACACTGCCAAAAACAAACAATACACGTGCATGTTTTGAGTATTTGATGTTTGGTTTTACCATTGCTATCCATTGCAAACGTTTGCGTTCAGGAAGTTTATGAATGCTCCTTCCACACTGTACTCAGCACAAAATCTAGAAATAGCGTTTGCAAACGTTTGCAAACGTTTACAAACGAGAGGGGGTTCAAGATTCAAGATTTAAGATTCAAGATTCAAGGCCTAGAAAGAAGTTCTTGAATCCTGTATTCAAAACTTGAATCCAGGATCCAAAGTTTGGAATCCTGGATTCAAGAACTTTTTTCTAGGCCTTGAATCTTAAATCTTGAACCCCCTCTCGTTTGTAAACGTTTGCAAACGCTATTTCTAGATTTTGTGCTGAGTACACTGTGGAAGGAGCATTCATAAACTTCCTGAACGCAAACGTCTGCAATGGTAAAAGCAAACATCAAATACTCAAAACATGCACGTGTATTTTTTGTTTTTGGCAGTGTTCTAGTACAATAAACCTTCAAATAACGCAATGTTTTTTATTTTTGAATCTCAACACCAAAAAATGTGTCCTTTCATTTGTTATTGTTTTTGAATTGGGAAGTGCTTTGTTTTTTGTTCGATGTTTTATATTCAAACAAAATGCATAAAACACTGTAATCAAAACCAACAGAGGTCATTTGGGGGGGTACCATATATCAGGAAGGAATCGGTTCCGGGGTCAACCCCCCCGCACAAAATTGCACCCACTTTGAAGCACCTGAACTGCTGGTGCTGTCGAGCAAGTGCCCCGATCTGCCACCCCGGGAAAGTGCCCCGCAACTTCAGTTCTTGGGCTCACTCCCGGTTTTCAGCGGTTTTTCGGGGTGAGCTGGTGAAAGTGCAGATGGTGCACCATCCGCCTCATCCAGCAAAGCCAACTCGATATCATCTCTAAGCCTCAACGGATTGGGCTGAGAGAAGGTGGGAGAGAAGATACTATGAGTCAACACGGTTCTTTTTGCAGCGTTCTGTGGGTTTCTGATTTGAATGCCCAAAGCAGCCAAAGTAGGAGCACCCTAGCCTATTCCCTTTGTCCAGCCAGGGGGAATGAGGCTGTTTAGCAGGTTTCCAAACCTCCGACATGGACCAGCCTATGTAGGGAATGGTTTGTGAGGACATGAGGAGAGTCACAACCTGTGGTCTTCTTGTATCTCAATTGTCCCATCGATATTCATCGATCATCTATCCTAGATCTATCCGTATCTTCAAAAGCTTGCGCTTTTATCAGACCGCCCAAAACAGCTCTGCAAGCCTTTCAATCTTTATTCATAAACAACTCCTTCGGAGCTTTTGTGGGCGACTCCAGAAGCGCGAGAAACACACCAAAGATGCTCCAGAACCGCCCGTCGCCCCCCGCGGTCGGTTCTGGCGCTGAGGCGCAGTAGGCGTGCGAATCCCAGCCTTTGCCGTTCGCCACCTGGACGGGGGGATTTCGGTGGGCCCAGTTGGACCCCCCCCAACCCACTGGCCCGGCGCCAGGCTCTTCCATCACTGAGCTTCGTGTCCAGCTTGAGGGACACTCTCACTCTCAGAAGGCTGACATCGCTGAAAACTGTGCATCTTCAGCCTGAAACCCAATTCGGGGCCGTACAGATCCCATCAATCAAACCTCCCCAAAAACAACAGAACAACACAAGCCCAAACATGCTCAAACACACCCAAAACAGCTGAAATTGGTGTGTCTCTCAACCGCTGCCTCTGGACGAAGCTTCCGTTCGGCTAAGATCTACTTCACTAACAGTTGCAACGTCAAATGGAACAAGACACCCCTGCCATCCCCTGGCCCGGTTTTTGGGTCTGCCGAACCCACGGGGTGTCGCCGAACCCGGAGGCCTCCCGACATGGTGTCGCCTGTTGGGACACCGACCCGTCGAGCCCACGACCAGTCACCCAGTCGTTGCTGCCCGGAACAAGCTCGTTGACTGACCGGAAGACCGACCGACGCCCAACGAGACTTGTGCCGCTTCTGCCCGGACCGTGGTCTCTATTGGTCGGCCTGAAAGGATGTTGGTGAAGTCCAAATGGCGATCCAATTCATAACCTTGCCAGGTTGTCAGTCATCTCTAGAAACAAAGAAGCTGAAGCTGCTGCTTTGCTGCTGATTCTCAGTGTTTGTTTCATAGATGACGAACCCCAGTGGTGGAAGAAGTGCAAAGAACATGACTAAACACATCTTCACAAGTGACAAAGGCACACAAATCAGATCTGCAACCCCCTCGGTTTTGACTCTGCGTGGCATCATCAACGAGCAAAATGGGATACACGCGTTCTAATGTTCTAAAGACTTTAAAGACGTGTTCACACAATGACCAGCTTGGCCATGTAGTGAAAAGCCATCGACACCATTAGCCATCGACACCATAATGCACATTCTCTCAAATACCTGTTGCCGCCCAGAAACGATCCTCGAGATGGCTGATTCCCAAGGATCCTGGAGGTGGGCAGGTGTTTTTTTTGCTGTGCGCCTCTCCCGAAAAGAAACACCAGCTAGACATCCACGCCCCCCACTGTGGCATGCTGTGACCGTCACTGCGAGGAGAGCGGTCTGACCGTCGATGGTGTTTCCCGGAAACAGCAATTTTTTTGCCCACGATATTGAACGATTCAGATCAGATACACCTGTCGTTCATGGGCTATCCATATCCTCCAAAAGATCCATTCAGCACATCCAATCATCGAACATTCATGCGAATGGAGTTGCAATGAGTTGTGTACTGGCTCATGACCGAATCGCGGGGAAACCCTAAACCCTTCCGTTGCGCGTTTCCGTTGCACGAAGAGTGCACTCCGCAGCAGCGGCCCCCCTACCAGTCCTAAAACTTCTTGTATGGCGTCATTCGAAACATCAACCTCATCCTTGTCTCTTGGATAGAGCACCTCAAGCAGAGGTGAATGGTGGTGCAAAAACTGTGCTTGCTTGAGATCTTTTCCTGCAACTAGGTATTGCAACGAAGGGACACATGAGGATTGATCACTCACGTTGGAAAACTCTACAACCTTAAAGCAGGACGCAGGACTGCTTGACGGTTTCACATCCATCTGTCTTGCACGCCTGGGATTTTTTGGGTGCTTTTTGCTGGGCCAGTTATGGCATGTAGTATGAGATATGAAAAAAACAAGATTTTGCGCACATGCTGGGCGGCGACACACCAAACTCAAACAACATCATGGGCCGGTGTTTAGATGTTTGTCAGTTTGGCAAAGACATGCGTACTACTTACTTTAGCTCCCACATCATAAGATTAGTATATTCTCTTGTCATCAACTGCAACACCAGTCTCAGCCAAGTAATGCTGATGTGCTGATATGCTTCCTGACTAAAACGTATGCCAGTCAGAAGGGCATCTTAACGCCACGCTTTCCCATTTTCTTGTCAAGCAGCATTGTCGCGCAGACTTCCCAAACAAAGGTAAGGCTGCTGTGGAAGAAAGAAGCACCTGCCACTTTCAGAGAACACCAACCCAGTTCGGTCAACTTCTTCTGCGACGGATCCGTCGGATGTCGGATGTCGAATGGCCGACCTGCATGAGCAGACCTTCCAAAGTTCTGGTGAATCTCGACATCTTCATCTACAAGTGCATCTTCATCCCTTTTGATACCAAATCTTCATCTTCAAACGGGTCCCATTTGATTCCTTCACGATGCATCTTAGTGACCCGTACGATCCATCGTTTTCAGCCGTTGCTGAAACGGACCGACCCCAGAAAACGCTATCGACCGGCCTCTCCAATCGGGTTCGTCGAATTGTGCCTGTGGGAAGGCGACAAAGAGGTAAAGGAAATAAGACAAGGAGGTTGACTTCTAAAGGAGGTCAAGGAGCAACATCCACTGCTAAAGGAATAAGACAATCAAGTTAACAGTGAACAGTTCTTGGGGTAGACTTGGTCGAATTGTCCGGAGCGGTAGACTTCGAATGGTCTTTGCACATGCCATACGTCCTGAAGCATGTCCAGAAGCTCAGCTTCTTCGTCTCTAGGTGTTGGTACACGTACTCCTGTATGTACATGTTCATCTATAGAGAGACTCACGGTTCGACCCGCTGGAAGGGGCCCGGGAAATCGACTCAAAATCTGCATGCCATATCCTCACTCATCCTCATTCCCTACACCCCTTCTAAAACAACTCCCTCAAACACCCGTAAACCTGAATTCAGTGCTATTATAGTGCTTAGTGCTTATATTCCGTTTTGTTATATCTTCCATCCCGGGTCGGACCATCCCTCCTGACCAGCTCCTCGGTCACCACCCGAGTTCACTCGCCCACCCGAGTTCACTCCGCCTGAGCCGTGGCTCCAAAGGCCGCCGATGGCTCGAAGGAGCGAGGACTTCCCCGTGCCGCTGGTGCCTTCGATCAGCAGCGACTCCCCTGGCTCTCCAGCGGCGAGGGCAGCGCTAAAAGGGCACAGCTTCCACGTTTTGAAAGGTCAAAGGAAGTCGGAAGGGGTTAGGTCGAAGCGGCTTAGTGGTGAGATCCGCCACAGGCCACTATAGTGTCCTTTTTTCTCGCAAGGGTGGTTCAACTGCGAGAGAAGAGAGCTAGGTATAGCCAAAACCCTCTGAAACCACGGACTCTGCGATCATCGCCTTCAGTGTGGCAGGATCTTTGCAGCAAGCACTGGGAATGCGCAATTCATTGTGGCAGGTTTTACCTACCAGCGGCGCGCACTTTTCACCTGAATCAGAGCCAACACATGAAAATTGCAAGTGGTCTTTCTTCCAGCCCTCAACGGGCGGTTTAAATGAGCCCGTGAAGAATCGTAGAAGCTTGTTCAATTGCCGCTTCACGGGAGGCAAGTCCTGACCCTCCTTCTGCAAGTCGTGTAAGACTTCAATGATCACAGCTTTCTCATCGCTGCTACAAGAAGGAAATCCCCACCAAACTGCCTCCAACATTTCGTCCACATTGACCTCTGAGCTGCCTTCTATGAGATGGGAGAGTTTCCTCCACTTCCCATCCACAAGCTTCCAGAGTCCAGAGGTGCTGGGGATCACTTCCCGAAAGCCCTGCACAATGTACTTCACCGGCTCTTCAAAAGCCTTCCAAGACTGTTCACATCGGCGTTCCGTGAAGTCTCGCGCTGCGCTGAAGGGAACGGTGTCGTCTGCTTTCGCACCATCTGGTGCAAGAGAGCCCCATCCCAACTAGAGAGCATCCCACATCATTTCATCCCGGAAGATTGGCTTGTAGCAACTGGCCTTTGAAGGGGTGAGTTGCGTGCTTACCAGCAGCAGTTCTGGTTAAAGTCTTGATCGATGGTAAAGGCTCAGACCATCTCAGACCCAAGATTAGGGGAATGTTGTTGCAACTTCGCCTTCACTAGCAAGGGTGGGGAGTCTTGTTGTCGTTTCATCGAATCCAGTGCTAGCAGGGAGGGATTGCTTCAGCAAGTGTGCTTGTTGGGATGGGATTGGAAGAGCGGTTTAGAATAGTTTATAGAAGTGCAAGGTAGCATGTCAAAGCACAAGAGGGTGAGTTGCCGAATCCGAAGAAGTCCTGTATTGTCCACTTTTGTAGGGAGTATCGATTGCAATGGTTCTGAAGTAGGCATAATCATATCAAAATCCAATCAGATCTGACAATAGGAGGTTTCGCTAAAGAAAAACGAGCATCAAACAGATTCAACAAGCATTGAAACTGGCCTGGGTGTACTTGCCTGTGTGGTCCTTAACTTCATCGCAGCTCAGCCATCCGTAGCTTTGCAGCTCCTGCGGGCTACGTCGCATCCATATGGCCGCCAGCTTCTCACAGACAGGGATGGTGTCCTCCTTGTTGTAGAAAGAAGTGGTTTGGGGCGTGACCACATAACCGGCCACCAAGCTCTGGTAAATGATACTGTGGAGACCCATTGGCGCGAAACCCAGGTCCGTGACGATGTGAGCCCGAGCCAGCCACTTCCCCAAAAACTGGAAACGCACGCGGGCGGCAGAAGGCAGCTTCTCTGCGTTGTCTTTTTCGCCGAGAAACCTTTCATATGCCGAATCGTAAGCGTCATAGGCAAATTTCAACATGGATCCGATTCTCCCGCCTCTCCCAGTCTGTCCTGATGCTTCGACCTCTTCCGATGCTTCGATCTCTTCCACACTGATGGGCACCAGCTCTCCAGATGGCAAGGCTTTGAGCAAGTATTGCGGTGTGCCCTCATCTCCGCACTTGCCACTGCTGATGCACTGCAAGCCTGTCGTGTCTGCATGGCCAGCTGGCAGCACGATGGACTGCAGGACAAGCGAGAGCCACTCTTTGCGCAAACCCAAAGCATCCACTCCTCCCTCGTTTGTGAAGTTCACCGTGAAGAAGAAGCCGGTCCAGTTTGCACCCCATGCTCTTGGATCTTCATATTCAAGAATGTTTCGAGTTTGTTCGAAGATGGTGGTGCTGGAGTTCCGGTGGAGCTGCACCTCGCACAGGTGGTAGCATTCGGTTTGCTTACAATTCGACAGTGCGAGCCTGAAGATGACATCTTCTCTAGTGCCCGCGGAAGACTACAAAAAGGCAATTTTTCCGGAAGTTTGGCTGTGACACCGACACGCAGTTCATGTGTTTTGACAGCTCGTGTCCCTGGTTCTAGTTTGCTGGCACTGACTAGAACTTGCAGCAATACCTGCATATACCTGCTGCAGTTTCTATTTCTAGGTCTGAATGCCGTAGTCGTGCGGCAAATAGTTACATGTTTCGCATCAGAACGCATTGAACGCACCCAGTCTCAGTGGAATGATTGATCTTGCATGCATGCTCTGTGGTTTTGGGTGATCATGAATCATTAGTTTCGGATTCCTTTGTGCTTGCCTTGCACCACCAGGTGCGAGCAAAAGCAGCCTACAGTAGCCTGGGAGATACATGAAAAGGAATTGGGTTACATATGGTCACATCAAACATTCTCTGAGCACTCGGTTGAGGACAAAAGCCTGACATCCAAACTGTTGTAGCCTTTGTTCGGGTGTGTGTTCAAGTGCTTCGCCGCGCGGCCCCGCAGCACGAAAACGCTGGCGCGAGGGTAGCTGGACCTGCTTCGTCAGGGCTTCACGACCCAATTCTAGCGCTTGGCAGTGTTTGGTACTCGAATTCACGGCCTTGTTTTGGGGAGCCCTGGCCTTGATGGCTCAACCAACTGCGCAGTGCTTCTGGTGGGCTGCTGTTGCTTTTGGTGGTAGTGGTTAGGGTGTGGAGCTTTGGGGAACTTTAGTATCTTTAGTTGCTCATAGTTGTTCATTATTACCACGTTCCAAAATAAACCTTCCACGCTGCTTCTGAAAGGCTTCCGCACGGAGGTTTGATCTCACACACGCAGTTTTTAACATGTTCTGTGCTACAGTCACTTCCACAAACCTTTCACAACTGCGGTCTCAAGACTTCACACTACAAGAAACTGGACTAGAAGACTGGAAAACTATATATATAGATAAATATACGTACAGTAAATCTGTCATCAAAACATTTTTTTGAAACCACCATCTACTAGAAACTTTCAAGCACGACGACTACGCAATCGTATGCAATCCTTTTTCCGAATACATGTTGACTCTGTGTTCTCCTGTTCATCTCCCAAACACAGGGGCTCGCCTTATGAATGAAACATTTCATCAAATCCACGGTCGGCATCCACACTTTAGGTGGTTTGAATGACTTCACTGCTTCCTTCCGCATCTCCTCTTCGTCCTCTTCCTTCAGCTCCAAGGCCATGAACCGTTCGTCTGATACATGAGCCATTTGATGCACACGGTGTCCGGAGGCACCATGTAGTGCCACATATGCGATCATCCAAAGCAGCAGGCTTTGAAGGACAGCCATGACCGCGTGATGACGCACAAACAGATATATTGTCAAAAAAACACAGAAATCAAGATTGAACCAAACTTTGGCGGACTGTGAAGTGTTTCTAGCATAGTCCTCACATCATCGCAGAGTTTGCCTGCACTTTTTGCTCTAGACTCCGAAGGGTCTGATCATCAAGTTTCCAGGAACGCAATGGCACACCTCAGGGGACAAGCCCCTGCTTAGCGAAAACATTGCCCAAATGATCCGGGACCGCCGGGACCACAGCTTTTAGCAGAGGGAGATCGTGGAGACCATGGGTCTTCAACACCGTGGCGTAACTTGCAGGCTCTTGGTTAACTAGACGACGGGTGGCCTGGGAGAACTTCCAGATTCCAGCTTCCAGCGCCATGTGTCGACGACAGTTACACCCTTCGGCGCCTTCCACCGTCAACTTCGACGACACTTTGAAAACTACATTCGCATTTCGCCCCATGTTTGTGCGCTCGACACGCATGATCTCCGCAGAGGGTTCGTGCTCACGCAAAATTTGCCTGTCACCTGCACGTCCGAGCACTCGACGCGCACGATCTCCGCAGACGGTTCATCCGCCCAAGGCAAAATTTGTTGCAATTTGCCTCACGTTCGAGCACTCGACGCGGCAGAGGGTTCATCCAGCACAGCCGGAATTTGCATTTCGCCTCACCTTCGAGCACTCGACACGCACGATCTCCGCAAAGGGTTGCCTCCGCCCAGGCCAGAATTCGCCACATGTTTGTGAGCACTCGGGGCGGACGATCTCCGCAGAGGGTCACGCTTTGCAAGCCCTGTCCGCACAGGCCCCCGCCCAAGAAAGAATTGATAAAGAACCAAGATGTGTCATGCACGCGCGAACAAACGTATGATATGCTTTAGTCTATTTTTTTTAACTTTTGCATCTGTCTTTGCTGAAGCAAGACCCCAGCGAAAGTCATACATGTTTTGCATGTGATTTTACTTCAGCCAGATCCCAGCGAGAGTTGTACTTGACTTTGCATATGACTTTACTTAAACAAGATCTCACCGAAAGTTATCCAAGCAAGATCCCAGCACCAAAGCAACCAATCCACCCAAGCAAGATCCCAGCACCAACGCAATGCTAGCGTAGCAGCAGATCTACATAACCATACCTGCAAACTGCAGATGTACAAGTGCAGCTATGTAAGTCGCAAATGTATTACCACCTCCGTAGCAGCTCTGGAAGACCACACCTGCAAGCTGCAGATGTGTATATATATATATATTAGATATATATATATAAATATATAATATTATACAATATATATATAATATATAAATATATATATATGTCAATGTATAATATATATATATATAATATATATGTACTTAGACCATACATACAAAGGCGGCTATATAAGTCCCAAGCGTATTGATGCAAATGTGTTATGCAAAAGATTTCTACAGAAGAACCCTTCGCAACGCTCCTGGGACAAAGAGCACGGATCGGAGATTTGAGTTGAGCACCCACGAACCACTTGAAACCACGTGAAAAAGGATAAACAATGAGTACAAAAGCATCCATCCATGAACGAGTTGTTTTCGACCAGAGAGTTGGACGGATGACTTCTGGTTTGCAACCATACAGCCACCTCCGCATGAGATCCTGTCCAAAACATGCGTGCGATCAATCTGGCTGAACTACTGAAATAGATCGTGGACCGAAAGTAAGAAATGCAAACCAACGTCTCTAACGTCATTGTTCTGTGAACTTTGAGCTGAACATGTATCAAGATTGCAAATGCCTAAGAATACTTACACAAATGGCTGTGAGTCAGATCTGGGTCACGACTCTGTCATTTTTTCAGCTGCGGGGCCTTTCTTCACAGTCAAGGAGAGCTCGTGAACTATGGGCTGCTGACAGTTGAAAGGCGGATACAAAGTGACCTGAAGACAAGCATCAGATTGGAGTGTAGGTGTCTACACAGTACGTGCAGTATAAACATTGAAAAGAACAGAAGCAAACATCCGAAACACCGCTTTCACGACTCCTGATGGTTCTCTTGTGTGGAACGGCCTGTTCTGGCCATGAGACATGTGCCTGCTTTCACAGGATTTCACAGGCACCACTGCTGAAGTTGGAGTGTTGTCAATGTCAAATTCACTATGTAAGCAACTGTTACTGTAGATGGTCTGTCAAGACTCCCAGCGGCCCTTTGAACATCCCAAACAAAATAGTGTGCTCAGTTTGCTTCACATTCCGTTTTGGAGTTGACCTCTTTGACCCATTCACTCACTTTTCTATTTTTGCCTGTGTCCCTCCTGAACTCTCGAAAAAAAAAAAAAAACATAACAGCTAGACCTGTGGTGCCGCACTGGACCTCCCATGACGCTCTGCCGTCCCTTTCCACGACACTGACTCCGCTCAGTCAAAGCGGCAGAGCAAAGCTGCAAGCGTGTCGGGGTGGTGACCTGAAAGCGCTGCTCCGAGCGAAGTAGCGATTCCACGGCTCCGAGCGTTCTAGAACCTGTTTTTTTTCCGAGGAGAAGAAGCCAAGAACGCCATGCAGATCTGAGGACGAAAACGGACTTGAAGATGTTCGATTTGAAGGTGAAACCAACTTTGGACGTTGTTTTAAATGAGGTTTCCTGGTGGAAATCAACACGGTTTCGATGTCGCCGCTTGGATTTTTCAATCTTTCAGGACCGCTGCTGACAAATGAGGAAAACGGGGCGAAGTGAAACATTCGAAGACCAGGAGAACTCACAAGGATGCCGTCGAAACCCGTTCTTTTTTTTTGCAATTTGACCCACCAATTCTCCATGGTACAATCCATGCACGTATTGTCTGAAAGCTTCCAAAAAACCTCAAAAACCTCTGCTCGACCAGCAAATCGGTCGCCAAAGCCTTGACCTGAAAGCAAATTTCATCAAGGCACCGATGTAAAATGGACGGATTCGTTCGAAGGACCGGAATTCGCCGAGGTCACCAATGGACCCTGTATGGCTCACCATGTTAGCGAGTGGTGACATGAATGGTTGTCCTGTTGTTATCAAATTCGCATCCCCCCACCAAATCGCTCTCTTTCTCTCTCTGTCTCCCGTCCTTTTTCGCATCCCTTCAATGCGGTCGCCTCCAACTCGACCAGTGTGACAGCGGTTTTCACAAACTCCTCCAAACCAAACAAGGCTCTCCCGTCGTGCAAACTCACTCTGTTTGCCCTGAAAACTAGAAAACAACCGAGGAGAGTTGTCACGCACAAATGAAAAGGAGGGTTGGTCAGCTGAATCATTAAGGTAAAGTGACAAAACCATCTTCTATTATACGTTGCATGTATTCTGTTTTTGAGGACACGGACTCTTGAGTGAGCAAAGGTTTAGCGAGCACCATCACATGCCGAAGTCACCGGTATGCGACGCGTATCCCTGAAATATAAACAGCCAAAAAAACGAACATTAGAGAAGGTCAACGGCTCTGGTGGAGACGGTCTAACAAAGGGAGAGGGGGTGGAGTCGTACAGCAAAGGATGCAAAAGGCAAGCAAGAAAGCAAAAACAAGTACAGTAGGTCCTGGGCAACCCCACAAAGTTGGCCCGGCAGGAATTGTCAGCGGCACGAAAATGCTACTGCCCGCGCTGGATACAACAAGATGTCCTCAATTGAGGGTGGTTGAAGGACACAATCCCAGCTCGTATGAGTAGTACACCCACCTTGAGCCAGGCCAAATCTGGGCAGTCACAAACATAGGGCTGACATGCAAGCTCTAGCGTGGCGCCGATTGCTTAGACCATGATGCTGCAGCCAGTATACCTGACCCGAGGTCAAATAAAACCCAAGAACCGGGCGAAGGTGTGTCTTGCTCCTCTTGAAGTCAGTGGAAATGGTGCAGGCGGGCAGTGGTTCAACAACCTGTCGGGATCTCCCGGGTGAAACCAGCGTGAAGTACGGCCTGGCCCCGATTGCTAAACCGGACATATGACCTGCCGGTCGCTCACCACAACTATACAAATCAACCAAAGCTTGACGGAGCTCTCCACTGCCTATCTACCGAAAAGTCTGGTAGAAAGGCGTTGAAGAGGTTCAATCAGTTGTCAGCCCCTTCTAAAGCGTGTTGCCAATCATGCATCATTGGCTTCCATTTTGCGGTGCCATAATACCTATTTGAGAAATTTTGAGTACAAGCATTCCTACGGCCCAACCCTGTCAGCAGGATGAAAGCGTCATGGTCACTCTTTGATGAAATGTCATTGTAGAGGGTGGGGTGTGCTTGACAACGGGAATAAGCTTGGAAGAACCAAAAGACGGGTCCAGGGTGGAACCGCATGCATAGGTCTGCCGTGTGGTTTGCAAACCGGATTTCTCGATCCACTGGCCCGCCGCATGCCAAACGCAGATCATTGGCAGGCTCCCAATCATTGGCAGGCTGTATGGAATCTTGGTAGATGATTTGGTAGATGATGTAGTGCGCAGCTGGCTACTGCAAGCCAACTGGATATTGGATCTCCCACATCGGCTTCGGCTCATGTCCGTAACTGCTGGATAGACTTGTTTGCGTCAACTGCTTGATGCTGGACAAAATGGGCAGAAGCAAGGGGGTGTTGGGCTGAGGGGGTGGAGTGGCTGATGCCGAACCGCCTTAGCATCTCAGGTGTGGGCGCTTCACCCTCCATGACCATTGGATTGGGTGTGGGGCATAGCTTTTCACCATCCGATTCTTCTCATAGTGTTGGGTACTCTAGTGACTCTAGTGTGAGCTCCTCGCAGTATCACTCCTCGGCTCATGGCGGAGGTGCATACTGAAGTAGAAACCTGCTGGCCGTTTGGATCCCTGAGCAGAGTGGTTGGCATCATCACCTCGTCGCCTTAATCAGTCTGTCCTGCCACTCCATTACGGCACAGTGCTTTTGAGCGCACTGTGTGGACATGACTGTCGTCAAGGCAGCAGCCGCAGCTCTGTCTGATCCGGTTCCGGAGGAAAGGAGTCATGAGTAAAACAATCTTCCACAGAAAAAGACGGCCCTCCCACCAAACAAAAACAGTGTCGTTTTTCTCAATAGGGGGTCCCCCCATATTTTGGGACCCGCAAAGATGGAAAGCTGGGAAGAGCTTCAAGACTGAAAAGTCGCCTAGAAAAAGTGTAAACTCCTTGACACTTGTATCGAACATGTTTTGAAGACCTCCAGATCGGAGGGCGCCATGGGCAATAACAGTGTTGATGCTTTAGATGTTGTTTTCCCACAATGGTCACTTGAGGCCATGACAAGGTGGGCATGCACTGGGTCGAATTGATATTGGTGATTGGCTGCTCCTACTGCTTTCCTTGTTTGGCGCAAGAAGCAGATTTACAATCAGCAGATGCTGGGTCAGGTTGCTGGCGGCTTACCTGCTAATGACTTTGTGCAGGTTATGACATGGCCGATGCAGGATCAAGCCGTTTCAGAATGTTTTTTAGGCATTGTTTCCCCATGTGAGTCGACACAATAACACACCCTCTTTTGAATTCACCCTGAAAAAGCACGTACCACCTCCGGGAGTCCACGCCTTCGTACACTTCCCACCCCCCCCAAACCCTCCCAACAAACACTTTACAACGACCCAACTCTTACTCCAACCCAAGAGGGGGCCGTGTTTGGTGTGTGCTTTGCTTACTTTTCCTTTGTCTCCTCGGCGGAGGATCCGTTCTCCAGATCCGACACGGAGTCGTAGCTCGAGGACTCGTCATCGCTGCTCTCGGCGCCGATGGTCGTGACCTCGTCGTCGACCTCCTTCATCTTCTCCAAGTGGTCCTGACGCGTCCGTCCGAAGCCGTCCGAACGCTGCTCGCGGAAGCCTGGAACCGGGTCCGGCGGGTCTGGTGCGGGTCTGGCGGGTCTGGTGTGGTGCGGCGGGGCGAGAGAGAGAGAAAGCTTTTGGTCTGAAGAAGAATGCACCAAGCAATTGGGTGAGAAGATCATGAGAGCCCGTGGTTTAGCAGTATGAAATACCCTATAGGTCCCAGGTGATCCCTGCCTCCATCTCTGCTTGATTGAAGCTCAAACATGGGTTCAAAAAATGAAGCACTGGATGAGGGAATTCAAGAACCCCTGATCCCACTGGCTCTTCATTCCATACCACAGCCAACCACAGCTACATGGTAAATTAGTAAAGTAATATTCAGTACTTTTAGGGATCTTTTAGGGCTGGCAACATGGCAGGACATACAAGAAAAGGCTGAAGCATGCTGAAGCTGATTCTGAGTATGTATCACTCAAAAGAAACCAGCAAAGAGTCATTCCTACGCAAAATCACACCAAACAACACCTTCAGCTCTAGATTCTAAATCCTGTCGCATTCGCCTTTTTCATCTTCAACAGCCTCGTGTCGTCTTCGTTTCCTCCACAGTAGCCTCATCCCTAACCGCTCGGAGTGCGGCGGGTGCTCACATCTCACTCCTTTGGTCGCTGCCCCCGACGCCTGAGATTTCCTGATCTTGAGCAGAGAATCCCAAATCTCCTGATGACGGAAAGAGCCAAGTCTCGTCATGGCAGGTCATGGCAGGTTCTGGAATTCTTTTTTGCGACCCAAATGATCCTAAGTACTATGTCGACTCCCAATCCTCCAAACTCCATGGAATTCGGAAAGATTTGAATAATTTTGTATACATTGATTAAGTTATAGAGGTCAATGTAAGTCTAAAAATTCCAGGCCCCGACGGATTGTCTCTAAAAATGGATGTCTGAACGATTTTCAATGGAAAGTCTTCCATCTTCGGCCCCTGGGGTCTTCCATTCGCCGCTTTTGTCTACAGCTGAGGGTCTTGGTGAGCTTTCGAATGGCCCAACCACCGCTGGACCCCTTGGACCGACACCTAGCTATGCAATTCCAAGTCCGGAGTCCGGGATGTGTGGTGAGAAGATGGACACAAAGAGAAGACGAACCCGAGGATGCCCAACTCGCAGCAACAAATTCCCGATGCAAAGACGAAGTCGCTTCAGTGGAAGCGCTGCAGTCCGGTCGCAGTACGATGGGAGGGTTCAAAGCCACAGCTTGCTAGCCCACTCAATGTGCCTTTTGGCAACGGCCCAGAAACCCACACAAACTCGCCCTCAAAGAGCCCCCGAATGACTTGGCAATCAACTATGCTATAAGGGGATTGTCCGGGTGTGTCCACGGCAATGGCTTGGTCTTAGAGGTCCATCCCTCCAAACTGCTTTCAGCTATATACACAAAGACATGTCGGTTTCGATGTAAGGGTCATGTACTTACGCCTCCCATCTCTTTCCCAAAACAAAACAACCCACCAAGCGCCGTCTCCCACACCCACCACCAAGCGCCAGCCGCCCACGCCAGCCACGCCACACGTGGCCTATCCCCACCCGGTCCGTCCTGCACACGCACCGATTCTGCGCCGAGTCTGGCGAAATTATCCAACTCCTGTCACAGCACGGAGCGCGCCCGGTGGAGCAGCCAGGGCGAGCCCGGTGCACTCCCAAACCGCCCCCCTTGGAGTGAAAAAGTGGCCACGTGGTCCACTATAGGAAAAGGGTATAGGTCAAGTAGCCGGACCATTTTAGGTTGTTGGGCTACTTCGAGGTGGGCGTGCCATTTGTGAGACGCGTTTTTCGTGATCATCCAATCCGCTTGTTGTCCACTGGGACAGCATAAGCGACAGCATAGGCGATCTGCCACTTAGCAGGAGAAATGACCTATATATATAGCCTACCAAACAAACAGAAGTCTAGTGACTAGTCTCGTGGATCAAGTCGCTGGGTAGCCTTGTACCCCAACAAATGAACATGTAAAGTAGGACTTGGAACTTCGCCGGATGTCGCGAGGCCGGAGATGCAAGACATGGAACTGGCCCGGGATTGTCCCCAAACTCCTTGCCGATGTCCATCATGCCGCTCATGAGGTTTTGGAAAAGTATCTGCGAGACATCAGGAGCCAAAGAAACAATGAAGAACATCAGTCATGAGGAAGAGCTCCAAGTCAAAGCCCGCGGGCCCAAGATGGCACAAAAGACCCCCAATCGCTTGCGTTCAGTTCAGTTGATACATCCAAATTGTACAGCTGTATTGTGGCCTAACATGCCAATGCACAGGTGTGGCAAAGAGGAGAGAAGGGGAGGGGAAAGCAATGGTGTTTGCGTTAATTGGTGAATTTAATGGAATTTATATAAGAGCTGGTGCAGAATTTCTTCCTATCATCAGGATCTGTTGAAGCCAAAAACATAGACATGAACACACCAGCGGCTGATTCATCACATGCCAACATACTTGTGGGATAGAGGGAAACTGGTCTTGTCCCAATACTACTTTGGTGGAATGAAGTCAATATCGATTACCCAATAACCATGTCATGGTAGATATTGTAAAATATTGTAAAGGTATTTGGAATTGTTTGGACGTATTTGGTATAACAATCTCTGGCAGGGCGTCCATTCACCACAAATTGGAAGTGGATGGGGAAAAAAACACCCCGATGTCGGATTACCATTATGAAACTCCGAATACCAAACAGGTGCCATCCACCTGTGCCATCCGCGTCTCCTCCGTTCCCGACGGGGCGCCATGAGGGCATCGCCGTGTAGACGCGCCGGGCATCGCGAAAGCTTGGCGTTTGGCCCCGCCTGAGACTGTTGAATCACGCCGAAGCTCACCAGGCCCTGCAAGTACCTCGCTCTATTCGGGCCCCATCCGAAGGGTACACGAGGTGCCAGGCTTGGACCACATCCGAAGGGTCCGGCAGAAAAGGGTCCAAGGTCCTACAAAACGCCCGCACATCCAGGGAAGGTTGATGAAAAAAAGGGTAGGAATGACCTTTTCCATGCGCTCTCCAGACGCTTCAGATAGAAATATAAAGTCCCCAAAGCACCGTTCGTCGTCTCGATGGGCTCTGCACTCCGAAAATGTCTGACAACTGACCGTGACCCGCCAAAAATAAGCGCCACTGGTAGTAGAAACAACTGGCTTGACACGTGACTTGATGTTGAACACCGTGCCAAAGCCCTTGACTTGTCCAACTTCCAGCATATCTTGTAGGTCCAACTGGTCCAATGTCTTTTTTTTCTTAGGCAGGAAAGCCAGCAAGCCAAAAGCACCAATCCATGTTCTAACTTGGGACCCCAAGCGCTTGGTTACTCATGGTGGCCCTATCTTCTCTTTACATCAACCCTTAGAAACACCCCACCGACCACCGACCGTGGCACATGGGGGCGACTATGAGCATCGGCATCAAAATGAAGGCCAGCGACACCACTCCTGGTCTCGTCTTGCATCGTCTCGCATCGTCTGATGCTCCATGTTCACGTTGCGAACCATGACGCTGCGACGAAGGGAGACAAGGTCGACTGAGACGTCTCTCTTGGTGTTTTCTGGCGGAGATGAACTGTTGATGAAGTGCTGCAAAACTGAACTATTGGAAGGTGCTGAAAGTATAAGTGGACATAGAGCTCCAGTTTGAAAGAAGTGGACATAGGCAACATCCAAGTAATTCCGGGGTCGCTTGCCCAGGTGCTACAGGATGACTTGTTGATCTGTCCAAAAAGAGCTTACTGAGGTGGGCAACTTCAATGGCCATTTGAAGTCTCTACACAACATCAAATCGACAACTTGAGATACTGCAATTGCATTGGAGTGGTGATGATGATGATGATGGTTCCACAATATTCCTTTTCTTTCTTGGTGGATGTTCATGCATACCAAAGTCTTGAACACGATTCATCTGTTTCTATCTGTTCTGCATCACCACCCGGAGACCCATTCCGTGTTTCGGAGATCGCAACGCGTCGTGTCTCGCTCCGGAGACCATCTTGTAGACTGCCTCGATGGCCTCCAGGTAGCGACCCCACGGGGTTGAAGGCCAAGGGAAGGGAACCAGCTATGGCTGACCACGAGACTGGAGGACTTGTTAGACATTTGACTTCCATGAGCCTGGAAAACACCACACGTTGACAGACCTTGACCTACGCGACTGGACGTTTCTTGGGGAGGTGACGCCTCTCGCCTCCAACGGGGGAAAACACTTGTCTTGGGACACCTCCAAGTATGGTCCAAGTATGTCCAACCCTAGAGCTCCCAAGGACCTTCTGAAGGTGGGATGTGCTTGGAGGGAGCGAAGACCGAACAGGGATTCTTGTGGTTGTGGGGTAGCGAGCTGAGCACGATCCTGGTACAGGGAACATGCTGAGGTGACTTGGGCAAAACCCGCTGTTTTCATGGCGTTTTTTTGGGGGATTCATTTCGCTGGTCGCATCTAGACGGCCCAAAGGCGAAGGCCCACGCGCCACCGGTCACTGGGCCGCTTCCAGGACCCCCCACACAGCGCTTGTAGTTGGTCCTTGGCATCGCTGGGTTGGCGACGGGACGGTCGTGGCAGGAAGGTCATTGAACATCGGAGGGGCCTTACATGTCCCCATCAGCCACGAAAACCAACCGGAGCTTCTGACTGGCTGAAGCGCTACTGCTCAATGGATGCTTGACTGGCTGAAGCGCTGAAGCGCTTGCCTTGACACGTCATCGATCCAATATGATCCAGTGTCTACGAAAGGAACCAAAGGGGATGGACCGTGACCGTTCGCCCGACCAGTCCACCGGTCCGCGGCGAACGACCGACCCCCCGGTGATGTCCACCGCTTCTCGTCCAGCCGGGTGATCGCTGTGTGATTTCAGGCAGCTGAACCATGAGGTGAGACCGTGAGACCGTTGGGCGGCCGCACCAAATCACGTGGTCCAGGACCTGCAAAAACAAGGCGACCGGGGTGTGTGGGGCTGATACGGGCTGATGGTGAAGCTGGTGGGTCAGCTATTATACAAGTAGTGGTCACTCAAATCGAGTTGATTTTATATATGCACACATTGAAACGGCGGCTTCCCAAGACGTGTCTCTTCCTGCTTGGTGTCAACAAGAAGTGGATATCACATGACATATTAGAGATATGATATGGGTCCTGTATTAAAATAGGGAGTCCTCAGTCCCCAAAGATCCCTTGGGTTTGGTTCGGGAAATAGACACACAATGTACCTATTGGTTGGGTTGGTTGGGGGCAGTTGGGGGAGATCTCCGGGTTTTGTCTCCGGAGTCAAGACTGCGATTCAAATGACTCGACCGTTCTACCCCTAGTAGCTTCAAAGACCTACTAGTAGCTTTTAGTTACTATACAGGTGAAACGATTCCCAAGGAAGGTTCTAGAGGACGTCTGCATAGAGTTCCAAGGAAGGAGACTGGGATTCAAATGACTCGACCTCTTGACTCGACATTGACATCTCAAAACCCGCAAATCCGGCAAATCGGCCCCAAGTGAATGATTGTTCATATTAGTGCACCGATTCGCGTGTGGAAGGACAAACACATACAGTACGAACAAGCTGTTACAATCCTTTTCATGGCACATCTCTACAACATAGATGCGCAAATTAAACTTGATCAGATCGAGAGGGAAACGAGAGATATCCACAAGGACGAAAAGCCTGTTCTGCGGGTTCTCCCAGCAAAACAGCATCGTTTGCGACGTGGGAAACTGCCGGCAGAAGTTGTCCCCACCTTTTCACTGCACATCCTTTCATAAGGATGGCCATGGAAGAAGGCAATGGACTCAGCCTAAGGCAGTCACGCACGTGAAAGCACAGGCACACGCACAGCTCCGGTAGCTCTCTTTTGAGATGTTGAGCAGCGCGTCTTTGAAGACGGCCCCACTTTCATCTGCCTCCCCATCTTAATGCACCGAACACCATGCATTGCAAATGTACCGTTGGCACCGTGGCACTCATAAGCTCACCTGGTGAATCCATCGGAACTTCCGTCGGACCATCGACGCCCAATGCCCCCATGATCCATGTCGGTTTGCGGCGTTAGCAACGGCCTGTCCTTTTCCGGCCTCCCCTGGCGGCCCTGGACGTAATGACAAGATCCTACAAGAGCAAACAACATAAACCAAAAGAACAAAAACAACCCCACACCTTCGTGTCGGGGTGTGACAAATGGAGAAAATCCCCGTTTTTTTGTTGTAGGGTAGTCCAGCCAGGAGACCACGTAAGGAAGTCGCTGGATGCAACATGATGCAACACAAACCATTTGTTTATTGCCTGGGTTGTCTAGTGGCGCATGACATGCCCCATGTGGCCCCATGTGGCCGCCTGCCCTGAAGAAAGGTGGGAAACGCAGAACGGGTGGAAGAATCCAACGGGCCACACTGAAAGGAAGACATGTAGGCTCTTGATTAGTAAAACCAAAAATATAACCTTATTTTAACCAAATTTAACCACTATATGAAGAGGTTCTGTTCAGATTTTTCATGTTTGTAAATATTGAATAAAAATATAGAAAAGACTATGTTTCAAAGAAAACATATGAAGAGGTTGTTTCATCTAACTCCCATATGAAAAGGTCTTTTACAAAGAGGTTTTTACAATCCAATTGGGATACGTGTTTAGTTTTCAAGAGTTTACATTACATGTTGTGTTCGTTGATGCCCACTTGTTTTGTAATCCATTCGTCTTTTCAGGGCGTGAAAAGAACATAATATTACTGCAACAAACACGAGAAGCGCGGCCCTTGTAGCGTCCGAGCTGCATGCTCTCGCAGGCGGACCAACACATACCGAAGGTCGCCCTGGACGGAGAACCGAAGACGTTGGACCGTCACGCCGGAACTCGCTCTCAGCAGCGAAGACAGGTCTGTCTTAAGCGCGAAGATGAGTGACATCTCTGCACTGATATCCCCTGGGAGTCAAAGACTATCAAAAGAATGGTCTGACTAGGTGACCCGAAAAGGAATATGCTTTACTTCAGTGGGGCAAAATATAGTCTTTGGACTTAAGGCATCTTAAGGCTATCTGAAATTCCTACAAATGACAAATCCATGCAAACGCATCCACTACACGAGAGGGTTTCCAAGATCGATGGCATGCCGTTCACATGACATCCCTCTTTCCACGCGGGTTTCACCCCGCCCCGCTGCCAAAAACCGCTGGGTCGCATGGACATGATGGCCTCCACAGCCAAGACCCGGCGTTGCACTCTCATGAGTGGAGCTCCAAAAACCACGAGGGAGATGACCTGCGGACATCCGCTGCGGACGCCGAAACCGGTCACCGCACGCGAAACGGCCCAAACCGGCGAAACCGCACCGGGGCGGAGACACGGAGAGGACGGAGAGGCCGGACCCCTCGGATGAGGCCAGACCGGTACTGCGTTTGCAGGAGTGTCTGAGAAATACTGGAGTGGAGTCGACTCCGATCGATGTCGAGCGGATGGTCGAGCGATGTTCCAGTTGCAGAGAGTGGTGTCTCCACGGCCCAAAAGCCTCTTGGGGGCGCTAAACTTGCAGGTGACCAGTGTGGAATGACAAGTCTATGACTCTCATGCTGTGCTCCACATCTTCAACGTCATCTGCTGGGCGCCCGGACCGTGTAGCCAAAGGAACAGCCCACTAAGGTGTAGAACCTGAGTTCAGTCATGCACGTTTTGCGGAATGAACAAAGCCAGCGTGAGTCCACGGATGGATCCATAAAGTCCGGACGTGCAATGCCACGGTGCCGTGGGAATCCTCGAAGTGTGGAAAGGGTTTGATACGGTTTGATCATGGTTTGATCAACACCAAATCGAAGCGGTTCTTAACTCAATGGCGCTGCAGCAGTCCACGTCCCAAAAACCTGAATGTGGAGCCCTAGTGCAGCACGAGACATTCTGCGACCCTCTGTCTTCCCGCCAACCTAGCCCAGAGTTCGGGTCTAGCTCCACACTGTTTCTTGGCGTTCGAGGAGGTGCATGGCTGTCACATCCAAACGGACCCGACACCCAAAGGGACGTGCTTCCAACCGGCCCACGCGAGGCTGCGTGTGTCAAACCGCCGCGAGCGAGCGATCGCCTCCACCGCGGTAAAACAACACCAATGCGTCGATCTGCCGGAGGCCATGCATTTGTTTCAAGGCGCAAGGTGCTGGAGATCTTGATCAACGCCACCGAATTGGCTGCGATCTTGAAGATCTGTCGCACCCGAGCGGGGGAAAAAACGATCGAGCTGGCGTGAAGTCTGGAGGCCGGAGATGGAACACGAGGGACCCTCGCTGTTTTGGGACCTTAACAAGTGGTGTCAGGGCACCCGACTTGTCACCCCAAAACGACACCTGTTTGTTTAGAGGTTCAGGAGGAGACTCAAAGGAGCCTACTTCATGACCGAAGTGGCAGAGACACTTCATCCAACACCAAGCTCTGAAAGGTGTAAGAGAAACAAACAAAACGGGTCGAAAGGTCCCAAAAGGCCGCCGGGTGGAGGTGTTCTTCTTGGCACCTGTTTGGTGGGTGACCTGACCCGTCCCTGACCCGACCCGTCGTGAGCTCTGGGTTTCTACATTAAAGTGTCGATGCTGAACAAGCCGAAGTTCTTCTTCGGCGCGGCGCTGATCCGAAACGGACGGCGATCGGCGGTTGCAGTAGTCCACCTTCACTCCTCTCCATTCTGAATTTTCTGACATACCTTCCTGCTCTCCTGTGGAAAAACCCTCACAGCCAAGCTCCCAGCATCTTGGACCACTGCGGACATCAATCTCAAAGACATCCGGCAAAAGTTACCTTTCAGGTGCTTCGGTGAGGTGCTTGTCAAGTGCTTCGGTGAGGTTCATGCATCCATTCCCACGCGTCAAAGTGTGTGTCTTTGTCCGATTGTAGATGGTAGTGTAGTAGTGTATTCTGATGAAGTAGATGGTAGTGTAGTAGTGTTGTAGATGGTAGTATATTATGATGTGTTATGTAAAGGTGTCTTCTTTGTTTCTTCGTGAAATCGTCCAAACTGCTCTTTCTGTTGGAATCCTTGGTCCTGGGTGATCCTGGGTGGTGGGGGGACAGTCCGTACTCTGATCCCATACCGAAAGTGCTGCATTCAGACTTGACATTGTGCAACTGTTCTTTCAGACCACTCTCAAACACGCAGCTCACCCCTCTTATAGACTCTTAGAACTCGGATGTTGTTCGTCCTCCTCGACGTTACAGGTCTCCTCCATTTCCGTTCCGCAGAACTTCGCGGGAACCGCCTGTGTCTTGCGCAATCCGTTGGTCTGGATTGTCCACATTTCCGTACCTCAGACCCGGTGGGACCTCGTGGTGGTGGGACCTCGTGGCTGGTCTGGCGAAGAATGAGAATGTACAGTCTTATTAGTCTGGTCGGGTCTTGCAAACATTAGGATAAGAAACTGGCTGCACAGTTTCTGGAATGCTGGAATGTGAAGCTGCCATGCTCATATCCCTAGCAATCCCACCCTCCAAGGAAACTAAACATGAACAAATCCACAATGAAGCGCCTTGATTCAGTCCAGGGTGATCTATTTCTGCTTAGATGGGCTCAAACACCAAGCGAACCTTTATACACTTGCCCTTTCCCATGACACTTTAAGTCTGATTGCAAAGACTTGTCCAGGACACTCCACAGCCAAATAGAGAAGTGAATCCAAAAAGAGATAGAGTTCCCAACGTCAAACCACTTGTCTCGAGTCTCGGTCGGTTCCTGGACGTCTTTCCCAAAAAGATCAGGGTCTCACCCCCACCGGTGAGATCGCTTCTCTTGGATGTTCTCATCAGCTAAGGCAGATCAGAAGGGGATCCAACAGGGTAGACAAGACCTGTAGACTTCTGGGGTGGTCCACTGGAGACGACTGGAGACGTGGCGTGGCATTTCGTCGCCGCTGACGGATGCGAAGCAAAGCAGCGATGTCTGCCCAACCGAAGCCAGGGCGCTCCATCTTCAGGCGGTAGTAACATTGGTAGTCATCGATCTGAGTCCCAGTGCCGACATCGAACGGACTCACCATGCTGCCATGGAATAGAGCAACACCGTCCGTTGTGACTTAAGTCCGAACTCGTGGGCTACAATCGAAGGAAGCCAAATCTGCGCTTCCGACAGTGAAGCACCCCTTTACTACGCAGGTTCAAATCATTGCATAATAATAACTTACAGCATAATATGAAGTCTGCTAGCAATGGAAGGTACCAATCTTTTTGGAATTTTACACTTCTTATCCTTGTTTGATGCATCTTGAATTTGTGTTGCACAAATTCTAAGTGCAGCCAAGGGACGTACATATCCAGCCTGAAGACAGACCAAAGACCGAGCAAAATCACACGCCAAAAAGACTGGCATACAAACAATCATTATCAATTATTCCCCAATAGCCATGCTATGGGGTCTTGCAAAACTAATAGGCGGACGGTCTCCAGCTGGGCTAATTGGATTGTTTGGCTCTTTCATGTTCTTTCTGTGAGGGACGAACGCCGAGTCCGACACCGGAGCCACTGGGAACAATGCGAGAACTAGTCACCACAGAACGGGGCCTGGACGTCGAGCATGTCTTCAACGTATTTGCCAAAACAGGTTGACCATGGGAAGCCATGTTTTGGCCTGGTTATTGGCTTCTGGATTCAATCTGGGGCCTTTGGTTAGTTGACCATGGATTTCCGTCAGATACAGTCATACCATACACTTGGTCATTTGTCAGTCTGGTCAGTGCCCCCCTAATGATTATACATCCTCTCTTGGTGGAAAACACGAGCACTGGTGTGTGGCCTCGAAGTTCTGCATTGGTCCGCTGCGCCCTTTGTTCAAGCTCGTGAAACTTTTGGAAAGCCCCCAAGAAACTGATGGGTGGTGGATAGTGGATCGTTGAGGATGGTTTGCCATTCCTGGCTGACCGATGCTCCGTTCAAAGCAGACCATGGTATCGGCACGTATCGGTCACCAACAGGTACCAGGACCGCATCGTGTAGACCAGGTCTAGACCAGGTCTAGGAAGCATTTGTTGGGTATATCATCCCATTATATCCCAATATATGCCAAGTCCCAGTGGATCATGATGCTTAGGTTCTAGGCCTCTCTCTCTCTCTCTGTCCAGCTAGTGACATTCGATGATCATCGTTTCTTGACGGCTCTACAGGTCTACGACGGCACAGACCCTCCCAGAGATCCGCTGTGTCGTCTCGTACTTCTGTGTCGTGACTCTCGATCACCGTTTCGAGACCGATGGGTTTCAATCGAAATCCGGCGAGTTTCCCCGGGTGAACTGTCCGCCGAGCTGCAGCTTTCCCGTCAGGAACTTTCCTCAGAACAAACGTGATGCGATGAGGATCCAGGTTTGGTTGAGATGGGCCTTGGACGAATGGAGAGTTGAAAGCTGAGAGTTGGCCATCTAGAGTATTCTAGAGTGATCCTGAGGCAAATAGAAGGTCTTGCCCATGTCTTGACTTATATGATTTTACATCATCATCATCTACTCCAGGATAATGATGGGAAAAAATTGTGCTGCCACACTTGACCGCGGTCGGCGTCTGAAGCAAAACGGTCACCACGTCTCGTCACAGTCTCATCACCATCGGTTTCTTCCAAGGAGCTCCAATCGAGAGCGATGTAGAAGGCAGCACCCGAATGGAGAAAAAGGATCGGGATCAGCCTGCATAGGCATCTTTTACTCTTTCAAACATGCTTTGTCTTGGCAACCTTCCATGCCAACCACCAGTTGGGAAGACTGAGTCAAGAGAAAGACTGAGGCAGGAAGCTTCAACCTACACACCTGCATCTAGAACATGTAGCCCACGGTCACCGCTCTTCAATGTATAGTAGAAAATGTGCAATGACTTTCGCAAGAAGACAAATACGTTGCATGCGTACCAGTATCCAACTTTGCGGTAAATCTATACTAATATATATGTTATTTACAATTGGGTCTATCCCATTAGCAGTAACAGTGGATGATGCTGGTTAGTAAGGGCCTGGTTCAAACAATAATAGCGAAACTTGTATACCCACTGTTACTGTACAGGTTATGGGACAACCCCCAATACAATAGGGGAACCCTTTTTCAACCCCAACAACTCTTTTTAGCTGACACATTTCTGTTCAACCTCCCAACCCTTTTTAACATCCCAACACTTCTTTTCAACCTCCCAACTTCTTTTCAACCTCCCAACTCTTGTTTTTAACCTCCCATCCCTGTCTTCTAACCTCACAACCCTTTTTTGAAAGCACCCCAACCATTTTGTTCAACCACCGTCCCCATTTTTAACCACAGCCACTTTCCAAAAAAACGCAAGCCTCGACATCGACACCAACCCTTTGTTCTAACCTCCTGACCTTTAGCTTACCCCGCAAATCTTTCTGAGCCTCCTACTCGTCTTGTTTCGGAGGGGGCGGCGCTTCCGCTTCCCCCGGCATTGCATGCCGCCGGTGGTCTGTTCTTCTTCTTGCTGCACAACCCCCAGCACATGATGGCGCAATATGATTAAGCGGATGGGGTCCCTCCCCCCGCATTCCTCTTCTGGTTGCAACGCCACCCTTTGCTCAAGCTCCTGTCGTCTGTTCCTCTTCTGGTTGCGACACGTGCCGCGGTCTGTTCTTTTTCTTGCTGCAACACGTATCAACAACCCCCAGCACATGACGGCAAAATATGATAAAGAAGGTGGGTACTTCCCCCCGCATTGCATGCCGCGGTCTGTTCTTCTTTTTGCTGCAACACGTTTTTTCCGCAGGACTCCCAACATGTCGACACGCGTGGACCTTTGCAGTCATACGCTTCACTATTACTTGTGGGGTTATCCTCCTTGCTTCCCTCTTTCCCTCCTGCCCCTCCTTCACACAGGACTCCGACCATGATAAACCTTCGAGGTGATAAAACGGAAGGGCGCAGTGGTTTGGTTGTGCAAGATGGAAGACTACAGCTTCAACCATTGAATTCCGAGATGGAAGTCAGCTGCTGCGGGTCGCCCCCACTATCCTCCAGTGCAGCGGGGTTAAGCAAAAAGGTGTTTTACAAAGAGGGGGGTTGGTGGATTAATGAAAAGCGGTTAGGTCTTCAAAAAGATGGTTAGGGGGTTAAAAGGAAGACGTTCTAGTGAGTAAAACATGGCTTTTTGGGAAGTGTTGATAACTTGGCTGGTGTGGCTAAGAAAAGGTCGGGGGTTAAAGAAAAGAGGTTGCTGGTTAAAGAAAAAGGTTAGGGGATTAAAAGGAAGATGTTCTAGGAAGTTGAATAAAAACAATAATGACCTGTTCGGCAAGGGTTGAAAAAATCGGCTGGGGTGGTTCAAGAAGGGTTCAGGGGGTTGAAGAAAAGCGGTTGGGTCTTCAAAAAGAGGGCTAGGGGGTTAAAAGGAAGAGGTTCAGGGAGTTATATAAATAACATGCTTTTCAGGAAGAGTTCAACAAATAGTCAGGGGTTGAAAAAATGCGTATCTTAAAAAAGTGGTTGGGAGGTTGAAAAAAAGGGAGCCTGTTAGTAGAGGCCTTGTTCAAAAAATTGAAACTTGTTTACCGACTGCTACTGTACAGGTAATGGGACAAACCCAATATATCTGTATCAATATCTAACTTTGCACTACGAGTAGCTGCATCTAACTGCTACACCTCTCTCCTGAAGAACAGCTCTTGACCATCGTAATAGCTGAATAGCCTTAATAGAGGACAGTGAATGGGATGTGGAGGAACCTGCTTCCTTCGCTGTGAACATTTTCAGGGTCGAAGAAACTCAGGAGGGATGGAAACCCCGTTCCTCGCCGAACTCGGAGGTGGAAACCCCTGGGCCGCGTTAGGACGGTCATGTTCGTCGCCATCCACGCCATCCACGCTGCGCCACACCGCACCTGCAAGCGACCAGCGCCTCGCAGGGCGACGCGTCGACGTGGACGCGGCGTTTACGCGGCATGTGGTGACCGAAGACCCTTGAGGACAGATCTCCAACCAGGTTGGACCCGGACCCACCAAGCACCCGAAGCGCTTGTCATAATGACATAATATATACAATCAACACATGAAACTGTAAGATGCAAACCAACTCCACTCAAGTTTCCCATGTGGGGGCGCCATTTTAATGAATCGCATCCCCCTTTGGCACACATCCATACGCTGTGATGATTGATAGGTCCGTTGGTTAGAAGAAGAATAAGTCAGATTATATTGACATGATGACCCCGTATCAAAAAAGCAATGTTCCATGATATCATGATATCCAACCAAAAATAATGGCTGTGGGTCAAAACCTGGAGCTCCAAACCCTGGTACCGGTTTTGCTGTAGGGGTCAGCCAAACATGAAAAAAGAAACGACTTAAGCCTTAAGCTCGCTTTTGCCTGTAGGTTGACCATGTCTAGTAATCATTGGTAGTCTGTTCATTTTTTGTGGGAAAAACCAGGGTGCCCCCTGTTTTGACCCACTCTCATGTGGGTATGGATCCTTTTTTGTTTGGTGGGGCCTGCTACGCTCAGTCAAACACTCGGATTCTTTTGGAGTGTATGCACGGGACCTGGTTCCACACTTGTTCCATAAGTATGTAACAAATGTCAGATATATGTCAGATCACATTCTAATAATTAACCATAAAATCCATGAACAAATATGTTGCCCATGATGCAAACTCTCAGCAGCAAACTTTGAATGGTGTCATGCAGCTCTGACCTTGCATGTGCCTTCTGTCTTTGTGTACGTTTGTACCGCTTCTCTCTGGCTGGTGACGCTTTCGCTTCTCTCTCCGCCCACGGTAGACTCAGCGAAGCTCGTCACCACCTGCCCAGGACCTACCTGCCCGTGCCGGGCTGCCAAACAACGAAAAGCAGGACCAGCAGGAACGGACTAGTTTAGCGAGCTCGCTCCCTCGCTGTGTGCCCACAGGTGCGCAAATCGGGGGCCAAGAGACTGCGGCGCGCAGCTTCTCCCAGAAAAGCTCCGGTTCTTTGCTGATGAGGGCGTTGTTCAACTCCTTGGCCGACGGACACCGCGGGCCTGTCGGTGGTACGGGATCACTTTTCGGCGTTTTTGCTTTAAATGCTTAGGACTTCCACTCAGTGTCAACGGCAAAAAACAACTGCATGGTCCTCTCACATGCCACACCAACTTACTTCCCAGAACCTGCCTTGACCGCGTTCGAGATATCGACTCCTGTTTGGACCTGCCGTTCGGAAACAGCGGTGGAACATCGGGGCTACCCGGGCAGGGCCTCACAGTTGCAGGGTCGTTTTTTGGGCTGCCTTATCTGATCTCTCCAAAATCTCTCCTGCCCGGCTTCAGGAGAACTGCAAAGCTCTCCTATCAAAGGTGGTCAATTGACCTGCAGGACTGCATTTGTTACAAAAGAATGCACAACAAATTGTTTTCTTCTTGAATAGCCACCCCATTCTAAGTGTCATGCAAGATCCCTGCCTGGCCCCTCGTTCGTCACATCGAACCATCGAGCCCTCCGCGCTCCGCGAGCCCAGCTCCGTTCCCCGGGTTGCAGCCATCCACCTCCAGGAACATGAAGGTGAAGACAACGAGCAACATCGGCCAAGCCCTCCACCTCGCACCCCAGGTTCCGACGACGTCGCACGATGGCCTGGTCGCCTGTGACAGTATGGGGAACATCGACGCATTTTTGGTTGACTTGAATTTTCACAGACGGGGTCAATGGTGGGGCCCGGCAGAAAAAGAAAGAAAGCGGGCGTCAGTTCCACACCTCCTCTGAACAACTTCCTTCATCAGGTGATATGCATATGATTCGACTCTCAAAACATGCGCCATGTTCGGTGTTCGGATGTTGTGGCCTTTTTTGCTGTGAAGACTCCTCCAAGAGCCCGGTTTGGATGAGCCCGGTTTGGATGAGCCCGGTTAGCCGACGGTCCACTGAAAAGCGGAGAAAAACCAAATGACCATGTCTGGATTCCTCCCCAAGTAACCTGTCTGGAACCCCAACGACCAAAGCAACTTTGCGAATGGTTGTGACCCCAAAAACCCGGTTTCAGTGAGTCGGACGTGTCCAACTGCGTGGGCGGTCTGGCGTCGGTGCGCGCCCTCGCCCTTGATTCTTGCGCCTGGTGCTCGAGTCCAGAAAATATGGACGGAACCTTGGGGGCACCGGGAGGCACCCAAATTCGAGTGCTCGTTCGCTTCGCCCGAGCTGTCGAATTCGGGACGTGAGTGCCCGTTCGCTGTCAATGAGTCACCGTCGAATCGGGTGTCGGGTGTGGAGTGGGATGCCTCCGCTTTGGGACGCCTCAAGAATAGCATCGAACGGCTACAACAACGAGGTGTTGGACATATGGACATGATGGCTGGGTGTTCCCGATCTCCTCAAAGAGCTTGGAGGGTAAGCACTGAGTGCCTACAAGAAAGGAATCCTCACACAACCAGCAAATGCCAGCAATGAGTTCCTTTGAGTTCATAAGAGCAGCGGGGCTGAAGTCACCTTACGCACGTTCCTCAACAGCCTCCATGTGAATCATTGATGTCAGGAAACTTCTCAGGGTTCAGATGTCAAAGAGTCACGAAAAACCGTCATTCATGACGCATCGATGTTCTGAAATGGAAACTTCTGTGCGAGTGGCAGCTGCCAAAAGGCTTTGAAGATTTGCCGACAGGATACCTGCACACCAACAGCATCAAAGGAATCAATGCCGCCTCTCCTATACAATCCTATATACAATCCTAAATATCCTAAATGTCCCCACCTCTCCAAACAAAGTTGTGTCTTTGCGAGTCGCCCCAGTAAATCACGAGACGAAGCAAGTTCAAAACCGCTGCTGTGCGGTGGGCACCCACTGGCGGCCGCCCCGTAAACTTGGCTGAGAAGCCAAAGAAACACATCTGCCCAAGCAAGAGGACTCCACCATTCTTCACTCAAGCCAACTAATCAACTGATCACTGATCAAGTTACCCCTCAGCTGACCTCTAGACATCTTAGTCGACGATGCTCACATCCCAAGCTCTCGCCTTAGGAGGTATGCCACGACTTAGGGCTTCGGATCGTTGTCGATGCTGGGCGCCTTCCGCCTCAACCGCCCGCAAAGCTCCACCCCCGACCGGCACACCGCGCGCGCGCGATTTCATCCGCATGCACATTGGTGTTGGCGGAGGTGTGACGCTGCGGAGTTTCCCCAGCGAAAATGAACAAAACTCTTGGGATTGTTGGGAATATATGCCAAGATATGCCAGGGCTTGTGAACTGAAAGGATGAATTTGATAGCGCCAAAAACAGCTGACTCAGGTGAGTGTGGACACTTTAAGACAGCCATTGATCCACAGATTCAAAGGGAAGAGCCAACCAAGCGCATCACCGCCGCCCTCAAATACCAACTGCGTGCCACAGAAGTCCTTTGTCTATGAAATTCTGCAAGAACACGCTCTCCCAGTTCCATGTTGGGGTGCCTTTAGTGCCTAGCCGAAGCGTCCCTAAACGAGAATGGACACTGAGTAGGGTTCCTCCAAAAAACACCCCGACATCGAATTCCCAAGTTCATGCCAGCATGACTGGTGCATGTGAATTAGCCACACAGGCATTGATTTGAATCAGGGCGAGGGATCAAAAAAATAGAATGACTCAAACACAATAAATATATCAGGGGATGAAGAAAAAACAAAAATTAATCAAACAATAAAAATAAGCGGATCCAAACGTGCGGAGGGAAGAACAATATTCCAGTTGAAACAGAGATCAGAAGAACCAAAAACGCATCAAAAAAACAAACAGGAAATCAACCTATATTTATGTAGAAAATCTTATATATGTGTATAAATCCATATGTATACGTATATATATATATATTATATATACACATAGACATTCACATAAACATATATTTGTGGGGTTAACCAAAGCATTCTGCGCTTGCAACAGTATTACAATTAGTCCAAAATACTTTCTTGATATCTGCATACTTGCTACCACCAACCCGGATGTGCACCAGAGGCTGCCTTGCTTTCCAGAAGCCTTCAGCATTCTCATTTCAATCTCTCTCTAACTCTCTCTGTCTCTCTCTCTCTCTCTCTTTCTCTCGCACACACACTCTACTGCAGCCTTGAATACTGCAACCTTTCCCTGTTACCTGACCTGGGGGACCATAAAGGAGTTTTGGACCTAGGACCTGGATGGGGCTCTGAGCTGAGCCCCTCGCTATATATCAAAGCATCCGCCTGGATGCTGCTTCCTTTTTAAGAAGCCTTCAGAATTCTCGTTTGAATATTTGCTAGTCGGAAACCAAAGCAAAAACGAAACTTATATTTGTATATATACAAACATTCAAAAACATAAGCTCTCTCTATATGTATATATATATATGTGTACACACCCATATGTATACATATATCTATGTACAGATAGACATATATGTATACAAAAATAACGATATACAGAAAGTGGATATCTACTTCAAGAACCCTAAAGTTTACGCTTCTTACTCTGTTCCAACATGACACTTGCGGTCTACAGCGGATCGGATTAACACGTCCATTTGCGTGGCAGGTACAGCGCGGTCAGATTTCCACACCCGTTTAAATTTATAATATTTATAAGGCTTTCAGGTGTGGAAATCTGACCGCAACTGAGGTGTCGACATGTTGCACGTAGGATTCTAAGGGGAAAGGGTTTGTGATGTTTTAGAAGTCAAGAAGCGCAACTTTTGGCACCCCAGTGTATGTTTGCGGCCATGTATGCAAATAGAGAGCGTGCGCAGGTCTATTAAAAAAGACATTCTGCAATTACAGTTCTGTTTTCTAATTGCTCAAAAGTACTATACTTTCCTATAATGTTCTTAAAATCTCTGTATCATGGTTTGAACGTGTGTGTGTGTGAGAAACCCTTGGAATCAGAGCGCTTCCGTTGAAGTTTACTTGCTGATTTCCATGTTTAGCAGGGGTGGAAGTTTGCGCTTGCCGATTTCTATGTTTAGCAGGGGGCTCTCGGAGCCTGCGTGAGACGAGAGCCAACGAAGGCGCTCATGCAGTGCTTGCGCAAACGTACCTGCAGTTGACCGCGCCTGGGCATCTAAGTGCAGCTGGGGGTCCTATGTTGTTGGTCCCCGCTTTGAACTAGAACAAGTATTCCGGCCATCGCATTTGTTTGCATCGGCAGTCATGCAGTTGATTTTGGAGCTTTGCAACTTGGAGGGCTTTGGAGATCGCATTTCATGTTACCTGTGATACCTGTTTTACCCAAGCAACTTTTTCCCTTAGGCTTCCTCAGGGCTCGGGGTGGTCAGTCCAGTACGCATTAGGGCCTAAGCGAACCACCAAAAACAAGGCCAAAACACAAAAGCCCAGGTGTAGGGTATAACCCCAGAAACTGCAACACCATTTCTTTCCGCCTCGCAGAGTGATACGCTGCTGGCCAGAACACAGCACTTCTTCAAGAACAAGGTCACCGTCTGCAGCGTCTTGTACACTTTACCTCGAGCTTCCTAGCTCCATCACGCATAAAGCCACGGTGGCCTTGATTTCCGGCCCTTGCCCGCACAAATCTAGTTTGCTCAAAAATCGGCTACGCGCACCCTGTTGGACTTTCAAGCCTTACCATTCAGTAGCCAGCATTGTGAGTGAAGCGCAAACAAGGACCATGGGTTTGAAGTTGCCCAATGTAGACCTGTGATTAATAACCCCCCCTAGAATAATGTCTTTTTTCTTGCACTGATTAATAAAGGCCACCAGAATAATGTTTTTCTTTTTTGGAAGGGATAGTTGTAGTGGAATATTTTTAACTTTTATAGTTTACTTTTTTCCCCTTTGAGTTTGCTGGGATTTGCTTATCTCACCGGCTTTTGGATGAAGATTTCTATTAAACATTTGAAGATGGACCATTGAGATTTGATGCTTTTGGAGGCTTTTGGATGGAGATTTCTATTCAAATTTTAGAGATTTCCATTGAGATGTCAGTGCACACTTTCTTTACAAAATCGCTTATTCAGAAGTATTGAAAAAACACAGAAATCATTCAAGCAAAGGGGGTAGTCCAGCAAGCAGC